CCTCGGGATAATTGATCGATCGATCGATCTGCTTGATCGTTTGAGGGGTGGTTTTCTTTTATTGGGTGATCTACGGATTATGTAGGTGGGTGGATGTTTTATATGGAAGGAATGTTCTGTCTGTAGTTTGCTGACAGCTAAAGCATGACATGACGACTGTGTTTGGAAGCTGAAGCTTTGGCACGTGTTGTAAGCTGGATAATAAGATGGATATTATCTCTGAAAGGCGAAACGAGTGTAGCTAAGCTGAAAAAGAATATTCATATCTGCTGGCAATACCTAAAGGCTATAGGAAGTCTACGGAAACCCGATATAGGGGTAACGACGTGGAGTCGGAGCTTATGCGCTAGCATAACCTCCAGACCTTCCACGAAGCATCTCTAAGAAGAAACGAAAACTATTTTGGTATAATCTCCTAATGTAAAAAGCCCCAATTTCTATTCTCTCTTCTCTCCCCTTATCTCTAAACCTAAAGTGACAAGCGCGCCCACGGGGTAATTTCAAATATCATTCAAGAGAACATGCTTCAGACTCTGGAAATTTGATTTCAGGGCAGATTCTAAATGTCTCTCACTCTCTACTTTTACTTATAATTTCAAAGATGTAAAACCAGTCTTAAGCCGCTCTGCTGCAGTTTCTTCCTTACACGAAGCAGTGAAAATACCTGTCTCCTTCCTTCTTATATCTTCTTCTATTTCATCCAGAGGATAAAATTCCGGCGTATTTTTAAACATCGCATTGAATTTGTTCTTGATATCCAATGGTAGCTCTGGGGCGTATTCAGAATCACGAGACCAGATTCTTAACAGATGGCGAGGGTTTGATGGATCGTCGATATATCCTCGGCGAGCATGTTGGTGGTGGAGATTATTAACCCTGCATAATATCAGTATGCCTTTTTCCAGGGCCACGCAATTTAGCATACCATTCAATATCTCCAGCTTGGAGAGCAGTCTCTAAGCAGTACTGTTCAGATATCCACTGCCACCCTCCCAATGCTTCTCGCTCCTCGAATGTAAGTGGTGGATAGTCTGTATCGCGGTCGGGGGCCTTCCTCGCCTTAGCACTTGAACACCCTCAGTGAGGACTTTGGACACGATTTTATAATTACCTCTGCGTAGCCAATGAAAGTTCTCGTCGCGAAATTCACGTACATCTGTTCGTTCAACCAGTGGATGAGCCGTACACCATCTTCCGGAATTCCATTCCTGTTTCCTCTTCAGTATAAGATCTACCAGGAATATATCACACATACGCTCTCCATCTAAATCTTTTATCCGCCAAGAGTCTCAGGATGTCCGGCCGGTATTCGGCAAGATGGTTATATACTTGCCAAGTGCTCGCGACGGTTGATTCTCCACCCGAGTTGGGTATATTGAGAGCCATCAGGCCCACGATCTCCGAGCCCGCATCGCTGTGGTACATCTGAGCATCGTTATTCTGAGCCGAGACAAATATTTTACCGCGTTGTGAGGCGTCGATGTGGTTGATGCTCTGGCAATATAATACGTCAATGGGGAATTCGCCGCAAATATGAGAAAGAAAGAAAGCATTATACTTTTATATGGCAAATACCGCGCCCAATTCCTTGATCGAGTCGCGTATCTGCAACCCATGCATTGATACCGAGGAAAATGATGATTTGCTCTTCTTTCTCATACTTCTGAATGGGGAATCCTCTGAGCAAATTCAGGCCGGTCCCTTGATACAAATTCTTCGCAATCCCTCGCAAGGTCGGACCTAGCTGTGGGAGAGGGAAGTTCGATTGCTCGATAGCAGATAAAGGCAGCGCAAGCTTCTGGAAAGACTGCAAAACTTAGCATATTATCAAAGAGACTCGATGCCTATAAAAAGTAGCAAGCGTACGTACCTTTGCTGCGGCATCTATTTCAGCAATCTCAGCGCTTGTGAGATTGTATATATATTTCTCGGCTACTTATATGAGTATGATTGATTATATTAAAAAGTAGGATATAATTACGATGATCATTGAGATGTTTTCCATCCCATACAAGTGGTCCAGTAAGCTTTTTAGGCCACCCTTCGGGCACATCACCAAAATCAAAAGGGCTTGGATGGGCAGCGTTTGCTTCTTCCCATTCCCGTTTCACGAAAAGCGTTCCTGGTGCATCGGTGTAGAGTTCATATGGAAGAACCGCAGTTGTTGCCATGGTGGGATAGGAGCTAAGGGGCAATTCCAAAATGACAACTTTTGGGCGGGTCAACGGGAGGAGATCTATTAAGTGAGTTAAATCCATATACGTACATTTGTTTTTTTAATTTTGCACGCAATATCTTGAGCGTAAGGCATCATCTGAAGTGCAAGACTCCACTATGCTACCTGGGTATAAATTAAGCCTGCTATATGGCGCGTGGCCTCCCACTTTTGCTGGTTTAGGCATAGGCGCTCCTCGATGCGGCCCTTCTGCTGTTCCTCCCTCTATCCATTTATGAATCTTCTCTTGTATATAGACCGTTAATAGATAGGGAGGATTGAGATTGTTATTGGGAGAAAAAGCTTTTTATTATGCTGTGTTAGTATATGACTATGTACCAGATTTAAGTCCTTCGTGGCCAAGCCAAGATCCTGACCTCTGATAGTATATCTCTTCTCTAGTTGCTACTAGTGTAATAGGACCACCCATTAGTGGGGGAGCCATACAAAGTAGTTGAATATCGATGGGATGCTGTCGCCTAATAATTCGAACTTAACTCGCTTCCGAGGTAAGCGATCCACCAGATCTATACCAAAGCTTGGCGTTGGTTTCAGGGAGTGGTTCCACTCCCTGGGTTGCCTAGGGCCTAAGATAGCTACTCTAAACAGAGATACTGATATAAAACTTTGGGCCAGAACAGGGGCTTGGAATGATGGAATTCAACTTAGGGTGGCGTGATCAGCCACTCACGAAAACCTAGCAAGAGCAAGCGCTCTTCATCCTGATATAAAAAGGAAACGTACCTTGGCGTTAGTTATCGGGTTTGTTTCAATAAATATCAATTCCAGCAATTGTTTGTTTCCATTTTTCATTATGTATGACAAACGGCAAAAAAGAGCTTGGTATCATTGGTATGCCGAAAGTGATAGTCCTGAGGAGCGGAAACTCATCCGGAAGCTTGATCTTCTTATTGTTCCATATGCATTTCTAGGCTATTGGATCAAGTTCATTGACCAAACAAATATCAGTCAGTTTATGTCTAGAGAGAAGTCCTGCTCTGTACCCTTCACTGACTCTTTTTGACCAGCTAATGCATACGTTTCTGGCTTGTCCGAGGAGCTTGGCTTCCACGGTAACCAGTTGGTACAACTTGGCGTAGTCTACACTGTCGGGAGTGTAGTCGGTCAACTTCCTTGCGCGTATTTATTCCCGCGTTTTCCAATGCACTACCTCATCCCTTCTTTTGAAATAGGCTGGGGGATCTTCACCCTTCTGCAATACCGGGCGCAAGGCTATTCGGAACTCATGGCATATCGTTTTATTATTGGTCTCTTTGAGGTATACATAAATACCTAGGGATATGTTCCAGTAACTATACTGACTCTTATATAGGCCGTGTACTTTCCAGGAGTCCACTACGTTCTTGGTTCCTGGTGTAAGTTACTCCTTGGTTCTCTTCCCTCAACTCTAACACATTATTAGACCGTGGTGATGAGATCGGTCGCCGCGGCGGTCTGTTTTACGTCGGATTGACATTGGGTACCCTTACTGCCGGCCTAATTCAAAGTGGAACCTCTGCAAATCTTGACGGTGTCGATGGCTTGTCAGGTTGGAGGTGAGCATCCATGACCTCCAACAGCAGTGCTATAAGGCTAATTAGTTCCCCACTAGATGGATGTTCATCATCACAGCCCTAATGACCATCCCCGTCGGTATTGCCGGCGTGTTCCTCTGGCCTGGCACACCCGACAAACCAAACCGATGGTTTTTGACACCCGCCGAAGTTGAGTTATCCCGCACTCGCTTGAACAAGGGTATCTCCAAGGACGCAAGCGGTGTCCATCTCACGACATGGCAGCGGCTCCAGTATATCTTCACTGACTGGAAAATCTACACGCTTGTTCTTTGGGGCATTATCTACTGGAACATCAACGCAACCTCTTATGGTGGTTATCTGCTCTGGTTGAAGAGTTTGAAACGCTACTCCAAAGCCCAGCTCAATGAATACGGCTCAACCTCACCAGCCGTGGGGATCTTTTATGTGCTTTTCATCAACTTTGGCTCGGATCTTTTCCTTGGACGCACGGGTGCTATTACTCTATCATGCACCATTAACATTATTTCCCTCATAATTCTAACGATCTGGAATGTCCCCGAAGCTGCAAAATGGGTGGCATTTAATATGCAATACGCGCAATTTGGAATGAGCTCAGTGTTTTATGGCTGGGTCAACGATATCCTTCGGAACGACCCTAAAGAAAGAGCCTTTACACTGGTTCTCGTAAATGCTATCTCCCAAAGCACAACTGCCTGGATACCTCTATTCACATTCCCGACAAAAGAAGGGCCAAAGTTCCGAAAGGGATATTCGTACGCCCTGGCAATGTCTGTGGTGTTAATTCTGTACACCGTGTTGGTTATAAAACCATTACATCGAAGACAGGAGTAAGTGATCTCTGTTTTGCCTTGACTATAATTGTGTTGCTGACGGCTATTTTAGGAGAAAACAAGCACTTCAGTCTGGTTTCGAATCTCCTATTGTTGAAGATAGTAACATAGGCAAGGAAGGTGAAAGTATTGTGGTGACGCCTATTGCTAGAGCGTAACATATTAAGAGACATAATTTATACCATATAGAGCACTCGTATTGCGGACTAGGTACAACTACTGCTATACTTCTATCACTTCTGCCATTTAGTAATCGGATAACAGAAAATAACTCCTATATTAACAACGCTCTTATATTTTCTTTCACTAGATTTGTGAGAACTTCAGTATCTTTTCTTTGACAATCGGAACTGTAGGTATCACAGGGGTGATGACTCCTCACTCTGCTATAGCATTTGGTGAGACCTGATTCTATATTCTATGTTGTGATGTAATGATGTCGTCCCCTTTTATCAACAGCAGCATTATATTGCCTATCCTGCTCTACGAGATGATGGTTAACGAAAGGTGGAGGGAGCTGAAACGACCAAGGGCCTGTTCTGCTTCACCGACTCTTTACCAAGTAAGGGGGTGGCAAATCAACCTTCGCGTAAATTAGTAGATGATGTAAGGTAGTACCCCGCCCCCTTTTAATATTAGCGAATATTGTGACGTCGACGTCTGCCCCGTACAGCAGAAATGTTAGCTATGCGATATCATCATCATTTCCAAATATACCTAGGTGAGCGGTAAGTAGAAGATACTTCTTAGACAATTACAATTACTACCTCGGAACTTCCATTAAATCTCTCAACCAGATAAGGCCGTTGCTATTTCTCCAACTCTCAAGCTTCTTTCCCATCAACGTGGACTCAACTTAGCACTTTGAGACTATAGGTACCGAGCAATTACTATTTCTGAGACCTCTTAAAAGTCTCTTTCCTCCATCAACTTACTTGGCTCCTTCCGTTCCTGACACAAAGTCATGTCTCACAAGCTACGTGCTCCTTTTAAAGCTCTGACGTCACGTTGTGTACCTTCCTATAAAACGAGTTGTTTATCCTTATCGACACCCCTCTCGCTCTCTATGCACCCTCCTTCTCCAACCAACTTATCCGTCAATAACCTTAAACATCTTCGAAAGCAATTCTCCGCCACATCCGCAAACATGTCTGAATCCAACAATAACTTTCTCCTTAGCGAGGTTTTCAATGTCAAGGGCAAGGTGGCTACTTCAATTCCAACCATGGATCTCTCAATTAACCATCTCAGGTTGCTCTCATTACTGGAGGTGGAAGTGGCATTGGTCTTATGGCCACTCAAGCCCTCGCAGTAAACGGAGCAAAAGTCTACATCGTCGGCCGCACCAAGGAGAAGCTCGACGCAGTAGTCAAATCTCACGGCCAGAATATCGCCGGCGAAATCATCCCTATTGTCGCAGATGTCACACAGAAGAGCGAAATCGTCAGACTGGTCAAGGAGATCGAGTCCCGAGAGAAGTGCCTCTGTATCCTTATCAACAACGCAGGCATCGCAGGCAACACACAACAGACAGAAGCCAAGACGGCGGAGGAGATGAAGAAGAATTTGTTTGATGATGAAAGCTCGACCTTTGAAGATTGGGTCAGCACATACCGAACAAACGTCCCACAACTCTTCTTCATGACCACAGCCTTCCTTCCCCTACTCCAAAAGGCCTCCGAAGCCCACCACGGATATTCCAGCACTGTCATCAATATCTCCTCCATCTCCGGCATTGTACAATCCTCCCAACACCATTTCGGATACAACGCCAGCAAAGCAGCAGCCATCCACCTCACCAAGCTACTCGCCTCTGAGATCGCAGAGAACGGTTTGAAGATTCGAGTCAACAGCATTGCTCCTGGTGTGTTTCCCAGTGAGATGACGGCAGGAGAGAGCGGAGGTGATCAAAAGAGTCACATTGAGAAGGACAAGTATGCGAAAGTTCCTGCAAGGAGACCAGGCAAGGATGAGGATATGGCTGGTGCGGTGCTGTTCACAGCCGCGAATCAGTATTTGAATGGCCAGACGATTGCGGTGGATGGTGGTTATATCCTGCATGCTGGCGCTTAGATTATGATAAAGTTAGCATCAAGAGGAAAACTTGCAGATTGGCATAAAAGAATTGCATGGTTATAAGCAGTCAAAATCTACCCCTATGCCCCGAGCCGCAAGGTCCCTTCTGCGGGACGTCGGGGTGTGATTGCAATCTGTTAACATACCGTTAAGCATATCGCACATATAGACTGCCTACTTTATCTAGTCTATAGCGTTTCAAGGTTTATGCTATCGCAAAGGATACTAAACTCAAACTAGTGCCAGGGAGTGCATTAGCGTTTTCTCTAGGGTCTTACGGGACGGGTACTTTAGCTTACAGCCAGCCGGATACAGCCGCCTAGGTACTTCGCCATGTTTTAGTTTAATGCAACGCATGCCTTTTAGAAATAAACACGTTATATTACCTTATATTTATTACCTAGGTAGGTGAGACCAAGATTCTCGGCATTTTTAGTTCGGGTATTCAAATTTACTGTATCTGTTAATAAATAGCTTAGAAGATGTTAGAAACCCCTATAGGATGCAGGATGTTGAAATCCTTATTAACTCTTCATAAAGAGTGCGTAAATAAATAAAGACATAGCTATTTTCAACTCTTCAAAACACTTGCCTTCTTACTCGATTACGAACATTACAAGCTGGGCAATATGAACGGGATCATCGGTAGATACGTTGGATGAGTGAAAAGATGTCACCAGTACCGGTTTTGAGACTCATATAAGCCTTGCCAGTGGAACTGGATTCGTCCGTGTTAATGCAATGTCTGGGGGCCGGGTTATTGGAAGTTCTTCTGTTCTGTCCTTTTAATTCACAGGCTGGTGGGCTATACCGGCATTGAAACAAATAGGCTCTGCCTTTATATCCTTATTCGCAATGCTGGGTGCTTAGTGCTTTGAGAACTTTCGTAGTTTAGAATTGTTCGGACTTGCTATAGCTTATAGGACTGAATCCAAATCTGTCCATTTCGTATGAGCTTTACACCCTCGGCTCATTGCCGAAGTCGCTAATTCCCACGAGAGAGAGAAGCTATTATATCCTACAGGACAGTGTCGAAAGTCTTGCTAACTCCAGCCTAGAACACTAAACGCGCGCCTTAATTGTCAGCGCAATAGTATGATACGCATCTACCCGCACGAGCAAATTCGTACTATACGTTCTCTCGCCCACCAACCCCGGCCGTGGCGTGAGCTCTTCAAACTCGGCAAATGAATGCTGTCGTTGTGCCAGCTAGTGCTTAGAGGGACCAGAAAAGAAAAGCGGGCACTGAAGTCACTAGAAGGCCAGTCACGACAACAGATGAGCCTTGGGCAGAGATGGTTTGCCCGCGGCGGATCGTGGGCATTGCACTTTAGATTTTCGGTCGATCGAGCAGAAGTGGAGATCTAGAGCTGGCGGAGACAGGCCACCGAGACGAGCAACTGTGCCGATTTCTGGTGTCTTGTGGTGATTTTAAGGAAGAAATGTAGATAGAGATTCACTCTAATATGCATTGATCCTAAGTTAAAGTTGTAATGCGCGCGGACATGCAGCAGAAATCATTGCCTCTACCCAAATGATTCTTCAAAATCTAGTCATTGGATTGGGTAGGGAGAAGGAATAGAGTGAAGTAGGGATCAAACAGAGAGGAGATCCATATCACAAAAGGCATAAACGAGACAGTCATGTCATTGATTCTCCACTAGAATGATAGATCCGAAGCGTATAACAAACGCGACGGTCGTATATCCCCAAGATCTTATACCCCAAAAGCAGTATTAGAGCATCGTATCCTGGTCTATCTAATCCTACAACAAAGAGAGGCTGTCTTTCCTTCTGCAAGCCGAGAACCCAACGCAACGGAAAGGAAAGCTACAATTCTTCAATTTCGGAGCGGAGGCGGCCTCTCCAATGTTGAATGCCCAGTTCGTTCAACTCCTTCTCCGATCTGACCACATCGTGACACATATAACCCTTCAGACGTTCCACAAGCTCTGTTGTGTCCAGGACCGCCAAGTCGCCTAGGGGTTTATTTGGCTTTCTGCCTCTTCCTGCGATCTTGTCCGCGACCCCTGTGCGTCCGAATAGCGATGAATCCTTGATCACCCGAACATCCCGCAGTCCTCTCACCTTCTTCAACCTCGTGAGGCCAAGGCTATCGATGATATCTTTTTTCGACCATTGACGGGTAGTAGGGTCCAGCACGATGCCAAGATACTTCAAATTGTGGCAGCCGGCTAACAGATTGAGAGTCCTCTCAACCCAATAACGTGTGTCAACAAGGTCGAAGGTGACCTTCGTCAGGCATACTCGTCGCTCCTTCTCTATTGCGGAGAGGAAGCCAATAGCCGTTGCTAGATTGCGACTTGTCAGCAAGTGTGAGGTAGAAGAGGAGAATGGGTTGCCATACACTCAGTTCCGTCAAAATACCGGGGCGAACGCAAAATAAAATGGTTTTGACCAAAGTATATGTTTAGCGAAAGGGTGTAGAGGATTTTGCAAGTACGGGTGAGTGCAATGTGATCTCGCAGGAGGCCTTCGTCGTCAAATAAATGATAGCCTTGGTGACCATATGATGCGACCGGGACAATCAAATTGAAATGCTGAAGTTCCATTGGCTCCAGCGGATGTTCACACACGAGAACAAAGCTGATGATTTTCTTTTGTACCTCCGGCGCGAGCTCCAGGAAGCGAAAGAAGGTGGGCATGGGAGCGGGAGTGGGAGGAGAGGTTGACGCGATCGACAGCTGATCCGCAACCGCCGTGGGCATTGAGATATTCGAGGCACTTCCTTGGGTCGCCATCTTGATTGTTGTTTGGTGATAGTCGAGATGGAGAGAAGGTGTAGGCGAAGGGTAATGAGAAGCTGTGATGGCCGAGAGAGAGGGAAAGGCAAAGGGGAAGGGTAAGCTCTTTGGTGCGCAGGTGTGGGAAGGAGGAAATAATAATCTCTGTGTGCGCGAGGTTGTGATGTTGAAGGCAGGTGTCGCAGTGTCCAATGAAATGGCACTGGCATTGGCATAGTGGAGACCAAGGAAGAAAGACGTCCCGGAAGTATCTGATCCAATTCATTTATGTCGAATGTACCTTCGTATCGCGGTCTGGCGCGGAAGATGCCATCTCCAACCCCATCTCCTTCCCCCTTTCGCCTTTCCCACCCACACCCCCTTGCAATCTGCCTTGCTCGTTCTGTTCCTCAGTCCGGCAGCTGAGAGTACCATCTCTATTTCTGCATCCTATATGAATAGCTGTTTACAGAGGAACAGCATCTCCGGAAGGGAAAAGCTCAGCTCCTGTGGGGAAATGGGAAAAGCATTATGCAGGTGCCCGCTCTGCAATGCTCGCTTTAAATCATCGCGGAAAGTTGGCATACCTGATCTGGTGGGCTTTGATACATTGCTAGCAGCAGTGGAAGGGGTAGCAGCCTCCAAAGCTGGATCAATGGCGGAGGCATAGTCGTACTGTCCACTTCCGGAGCCAGGAGGACTGACTCCACCCTTTATTTCATATGAGAGATCTTGTCTTTGTTTACCCCAGCCGTTCATACAGCATCCTTTTGTTGTTTAGATGCATTCTTCCGTGCACAATCCTTTCTTTTCTCTGATATCTGCATGTCAGATATTTTCTTGGGACTTTATAGTTTTATGCCTCCTCTCAGCAGAATCCGGGTCGGCATAGTTCTTTTCTTGTATCGGTTTCTTTTTGAACACCGATTCTCTTGGGTTTCCGTCTCCAGAGCCGTCAAAGATAGCTTTTGAGACCCCTAAGGGACAACCATGTAGAAGGAACCAGAGTGATCTCAAACTACGTTGGCTAGGATACTGGCCAAACGTTTTTAATACGTCTCCTGGGCTCCTGCAAATCAACACCAAAGCTGAGTTGCTTCGGATGTCGGTTTGGGAGAACCAATTTCATGGAGAGCTTGTCACCCTGAATTATCGTTAGCCCAATCCAAATATTTGAACAACACTGGTTTCACACATGAGTCCAGTGAATATACGTTACCTTTTTCTCCTTACTCTTCTTCACTCACCACCATAATACAAACTTCACATCAACAAGAACGGCCGATCATAGTTTTCCAAATAGTATCCAGAAAACAATAGTTCGAATGGAAAGAGGCAAGGTAGTTGTGCTTGAAGCACGACATGCTATCTTTCTGGTACAGCCTTACAACTGAGGAGCACAGTTGCCAAAGTGCCATCTTGCGTTCGAAAGTCTGATTTGCGGTTTTCGTAAGAAACGCGGTAATGCTGGGTAAGAGTAGTTCTCGTAGAAGTTTTCATAGACCAATGCAGTTACGCATGAGGTCCCGTATATATGTCAAGCCAGAGGGGGAACACTGCTTTGGCATTGCCATATTGGGGGGTTTTAATGCGGTTCCAAACACGGCCAGTTCCACAACTGCATTCGTTGTACTTGGTACTGATCATGATCTGATCTAATACTCCCAAGTATGGCTGACTAGATGTACCTGTGGAGTCTGATTAGCATTGAGGAAACCTAGAGTGCGAAGGGCCGACGCTTGAAAACGAACATTTACTCACAGGGATGAATACCCCGACGATGAAGCATAATTTGATGAGCTGATATCGGTCGCATAAGGTTGTCTGCTGAGTGAACCCTCGATGGGCTCTTAGATATCAAAGAATATTGAGATAGTCATCTCCGAGGCGGCGTTAAATCTGTCGTATTTTCATCTAGGACAGCTGTGCTGGGTAGAGTCCATGGAGGTTCACCAGAAATAAATCTCGCTCGATTGTGGACTCGTGGTCGCACTTGCCGCAGTCACGTAACAGCATTTCGAATCCGCCGCGCCTTCCTCTACAGACACTTTCGGATTGCTCGATACAAGTTCAATCGACTGTTGAGGCTTCCAGATCTTTAGTAGCTGTGGAAACGTATTGGCTAGTATCAGAGCTTACGAGTCATTCTCGACGTCCTGGAAGGTTGCCATCGCTCGGTCTTCGGACACTATCATGTCATGTCATCTCGACAAAGATCTACTGCATCAACACTATCGACGTGTTGTGAGTAACACCGATTGTCGATGCCGATCGAAAAATCCTTGATCTGAGAGGTGCGTGGAATCATCTGCTCGAGTGCTCCGTCCAGTATCCTAGGACGGTGAAGATTTTGCGCAAGGAAGAAAAGTCTGCGACAGTGCAGTGACAAGATGTAAGTCCCCGCAGACAGATGGTGTCGAACCAATATTAACAATGCGCAGCTGGTGGTGGTGTGGAAGGTAACCTGGTCTCCAGTTCTGCGGTGAATTCTTTGGTTGGAGATGTGGTAAGCACGTTACCGTGGGGTCTAGGAGGAGTCTCGCTTGCAGACAAGGACCCCTCCCCTCCTCCGTGCCCTTATCGGTCTCTTGCTTCACTCCCCCTCGCACATTATGTTTGTCTTTGAGGAACTCCTCCCGAAAAGGGGATCTGTGGTGAGAATCAAGGCACGATGCACCGTCTACCACTGGCCTTCGGAACAGCTAGCCTTTCGATACTCGATGCCATAGGTAAATGCCTCCTACGCAACTTCAAGCAAGGGGCTCCACGCCCACCCCCACGCCATGCCGACGCGACGACGACGAGCTTCACCATCCAGCTCTATATCCCTCATCCCCACCAGCTTACTGCAAACACCATCCCGCCCTACTCAAGCTACCCTCCATCCCAAGCCAGCAGCCTTGTTATCCTCGAGCCCATGGATTCTTACACGATTGAAGTCGCCCACCAAGAGCCGCATTTCCCTTCCCGGGTCTTCCGCGCCTAGCCACAACATCCGAAGCTAATTATGTTAATTATCTGCGGATGCTACCCGTGATCGGCGGCAGGGTACCTTAGGCCCTACAAGCGCAGCTCCTCATATCACCACGGAGGGCAATCGAAAAGTGCCATACAATCCCCAGAGCCCTGCGATTTCAATACAGTATGCCAGCTTGAAGCTAGCGAACCCTCCGCGCACGTATCCAATCAGTCTGTAATCCAATCCATTGAACCACCATCCGCCCCAGCAATCCACAACCCCTGTTACAAGCACTTGGAAACCAGCACTAACCACTACAACACAATCTGGAAGTGCGATGCTGTAGCCGGTACGAGCTAAGTCGAATCGAAACATATTCATGTCCGCAATTAGGCCCCTCCAGCTCAGTAGCGAAAAGTGACCATTGGGTTGAGGGGTGAACGGGACAAACCCATTCGACTCGGAATATATTCATATCCGTAGTCATCTCCAACCCAATCAATTGTCCGTCAAGCTGGGGGTAGATAAACAGCACAACCCCATTCTCCCCTCCCTAGAAATCAAGAATATACCACCTTCGCCTTCACCGTCTAGAACAAACCCCAGTGTTACAAATAAACAGATGGAGCAGTTGCTCCTTTCTCCGTATAATCTAGATATCGCCAGAACTACATTTAGCTGGTATGAGGATAGTTAGTGCAGTCTGCAGAGCTCGTTCAATACCAAGAATATGCATATAATTAATAAGAAAAGAGAAATTTATATGTATACGTTATATAATACCTATGCTAGCTATTGAGAAACGATAGGTGCCCATTTATATCAACGCAGAGATAGTATGCTTCAGCATGAATTTCCTCACTTTACCCAAAAATGGCTGCTCTGCTTTACTCCTTCTTTACTAGCAATGAAGCTTCTTGCTTGCACCGCTGCGCTGCGCTTTTCCACACGTCTTGAGCTAAAGGCGGGCAATTGTCAATTGATTCGATTTCGTATACATAAATTGGAAAGGGTTTCTAGTGTTATAGTATGTGTATATAAGTGCGGTATGGAGCCAGGAGTCGACTGGCATAGTATATTTAAATTTATATCTTCAATCTACTATTTTACAATGTTTTCGTTCATAAATCATAGTATGATGGTCATTTCCAGTTTTCCGTCACTGATGGACACCCAAATATACATCTACATGCCTCCCAACCTATCATCAACTCCTCCCTATTTCTAAGACCTCCCAACGCCCTCCCATCCGCTTACAAGCTATTCCCCACATCATAATTTCCCCCCTTCTCCCCAACTCCATTCCTGATATGATCCTCAGCATCTACAACGCGTCTCGGCAGACCTTGTCCGATACCAAAGAAGACGAAGAGCGCCCACTTCCATCTGAACGGGTTAATTGCAATGCAGAACGTAAACCACCATACCAGTTCCAAGTACGTGAAGAAATCAAAGGCGCCAGTAGGAGCGAACTTCTTCAGGACGCGCGTCATGTCGATCCAGCGTTGCATCCAGAAGGAACTGGGGCGCGTAAGAGGGTCAGAGAGGAACATGAGCAAGATCCTGGTGTAGATCCCAATGTGCCAGTTCCCGACACTGCCGATGGCGTTGACGTAGGTGCAGTTGTTGCAACAGACGCTGGGGTGAGCAGGAGGGAAGGTTTGCAAATACCAGTTGGGTGGAGAGTAGGGGTCCACGAAGTTGTCGTCAGGGAGGAAGGCCAGCGATGGACGGTCGAAGCCAGTGGCCATTACAACCATGTCGCCCTTGATGACCTTTTCGTGGCCAGGCCCGCCGGCTGGGACGCATTTAGCTCGGATGTTGAACTTTACGCCTTCTTCTGTGAAGCCCTTGATGTCACCCCGCAGCCATTCAGCTTTGCCGGAACGGATCTTGTCCATCACGTCGGAGTTGACCATTGGGGTGCCAGTAAAGAGTCCTTTGTCGGTAGGGGCTAGGTCTTCGAGGTCGCGGTAGAAAAACTTTTTAAGTAGAAGTTCCGGGATCCAGGAGAAGATAGTCTCGCCGCCGAAAATGTTGAATGAGAGCAAGGCATCGATGATTGGGTTCCGGGGAATGATCCACTTGTCAGATCTCGCAAGGATATAAGTCTTGTCTGCGTCTTCATGGGAAGCAAACTCCAAGGCTTCCACAGCGCTTGCTCCTCCGCCAATAATGATCATTTTCTTTCCCTTCGACTCTTTCCCTGTCAAATCAGACGAATGGTAGATCTCCCCCTTGAATTTATCCATACCAGACATATGGGGCATCTTTGCATCGCCACATGTTCCGACAGCTGCAATGATGCCCTCAAAACGTCCTTGTGATGGATCATTTATGATCCAACGTCCCTTGTCATCTTGGTAGACTTTCTCAACTTTGGTATCGAACTTGGTTTTCTTCTCGAGGCCATACCGTTTCCAAAGCTCTGTAATCTGCGAGACAATTTGTTGGCGGTTGGGGTATCCACCATTCCATTGAACGGATGGATGGAAACGATACATAATGGAGTGGATTTGAAGCCCGGAAGTATTATTTACTCGCTGTTTCACTGTTAGCTAATCCTTTGCCTGTGGGGAGGTTGACTTGCGCTCCAAATACCACCTAGTTGTTTTCTCGGACCAGCCTCGAAAATCTGCACATCAAACCCATGACCAACACAATGAGAAGCCGCAGAAACACCCGTCAGACCAGCACCAATAATAGCAATTTTGGGTCTACCCAGGGTGTCTCCTGGTTGCGGAGGATTTGGAGATAGAAGCTTATCGATAAACCACTGCATAAGCTGGTAGAGGAAGACAAAGGGATGAAGAATTGGATTCTCCATGATGGAAAGCGTTGAGTTTTTCAATTGAGCTTGAGCAAAAGCTTATGAATTGAAAGTAAACAAAAGAAGAAATATAAAATGCAATTGAAGTTTGAAGCTCCGGCTTTTGTTGCGGGAAGGGAACGGGTGCGGCGTTCTGGTCCGAGGTGTGATGACGTAGCTAAATCATCTCGGGGAATTTGTCTCTTCTCTCTTCATGTGAAAGCCGCAAGGTAAGGATAGCCCCCCTTAAATAAGCGAGAGCAAGGCAGTAGCAGTTTCACTTCATCCTTGCACTTGCTTGCAGAATCCACAGCATCTGAAATAATAATGACGAAATGTAAATCCATCATAATATCCGGATAGGTCTGCATAAAACCCCAGAAGGGCTTTAAGGTGAGTAAGTATTGTCACAAAACATTAGGATTGGCTTTCTTGGCCGAGAGAACTATAAGAGAAAAGGTCTAATCAATATGCATGTCCAAGAAGTGGGAATAGCTTCAAAAGCACAGGCCACATAAATTGATGAATGTTCATAATATCAAGCACGATAGTATAGCCTAAGACTACCTAGATAGCTAAACTCAAAAGAACGATGTCTCTTTCCCAAACCCCCAAGTATCCTCATTCGAAATGCATCGCAGATGGCTTACGGAATATATACGAACGACACGTGATGTGGATGTTAGTTTCAATAACAATCTGAAATTGTTTTGTTTCAATCCGATCGGATAAAATCGATCAAGTAGAATTGATTTTGCCCTGCCGCCCTATCAATAAACGAGTGAGACTTTTTTTCTATAATAAAAAGCAGATGATAATTTCGCCAAACTCCCTCGCTAGCTCCAGAATGATGGGTAATACCCATCGCATTCCATGCTCGTGTTTGTATTGAAAATGCAACACATAAAGTCTTCGGTCTAATCGCTCGCGAGTAATCAATGCATCCAGTGTTAAGATCAATCAAGTACGCTCAGTAACAGTCCATCTACGCTTTGGAGCAATCTCCCGAATCTTCTCCGCGTACCCAGGGGGCCTGGGACTTCCCCAAAGACCCAAAGGCGCAACATCATCTTCTTCATTTTCACTTCCTTTTCTGACAGCGGTTGGTTCTTCAGCTACTGCTTTTTCTGCCTCCTCTAACGGTTCATTCTCCTTCGCGTCTTGAGCATCCTTTTCGTCTTCCCCGAAGTTCAAGATCATGTCATCCGTTGACTCAACCTCCTCTTCTGGCTCCTCTTGGTGGAAAGCAGATCCCCACAGACCAACCGAAGGTTTACGCGCTGTTTGGTAGTCTCGAGGAATTGAACCTGCGACACTTGCTGCGCGGCGAATGCTTCCAAAGTTGCTCGATGTTGGCGCGAGGCGGGCTTTATTCACATCAAACGGTCTACTGTTGGATGTGAAGCGCTCTTGGAAGGTGGATTTGGATGAAAGGGAAGAAGCTCTTGATAAGAGAGGCGGAGTTGAGGTGCTGCTGGATCGTAGATGCTCTGTGTTCGCGACGAGCTTGACTTCGTACTGTTCCGATATGTTGAGATTTGCTGATGAATTTCGAGAGTGGCCTGGTGTATGATTCGGAGAGCTTGCTGGAGTTGGCTTGCGAACCGCCATGGTCAGAGATGCCATGCCTACATCCAATAAGACCGGTTGATTGGTCAGAGCTCCGATCAAAGCATTGCAACCTGCGCCGTGAGTAACTAGAATAAGGACCAAATCTGTGTTCTCATGCTCGTCGATCTCTTCAGAATGTCCCCCAGGACTAGCAGGTGGAGTCTTTGTGAAGAGCATTCCCGGGGAATCATCACTCTGATACCAACCCACCATCTGGTGCAACCCTTTTCGGAACCGCTTATGCATCGAGCTCCACTCTTCGCCGTACTCGCCTCCGCTCCCCCAGTTTTGAGGATCGCGCATGCTATCCCACTGATAATCTACATCGACGCAGGCATCTCGAGAATGAGCCACATATCCAGGTGGAATGGGATGTGAACTCGAGATCGCATAGTTTGGAACGGGAGGCTCGTAAATGCCATGCTCCGTGGGTACTGGGGATCTGCTTCGGATAGTATGGTGGCTACCGTGGCTACCATGGCTACCATTCGTACCAGCGCTGCTTAGACTGCTGGTCCTTTTTCTCCTAGGCAGTGCGCGAGCGACGGAGGATACAGTTGCAAGTGGACCTTCCTTCTCTTTCTCCTTCTCGGTATTTACCACTGGACTGCCCCACCCACCTGGAAATCCTTGAACTTGAGGAGCACCATTTGCTTCCTTGAAGTTTATTAGATTGCTATAATCCTCTCTTCGGAGTAAATCCGCCTTGGCTCCCGCACTCATCATAATGGAGCTTGGAGGTGGGGTAATGTGCTCGAAATAGTCCGGCGTCAGCCATTCCCCGAGGAAAGGATCAACGCGTATTGTAGATTTCTTGATGTTATCTGGCTGTTCCCGGGGCTTGCCGTTGGATTTCGACGGGTCAAGAGCGGAGTCAGGATCCAAAGAGGGAGACCCTGTTATGACAGATGGTCGAGGTCTGGGAGAAGAGTGTGTCTGCAGTGCTTTATCAGGGGATGAGGCCGGTCGATGGTGGGTATGTCCTGGGTTCTGGGCCAATCCGGAGCTGATGCCGATGGACGTCTGCACGCATCGCTGGAATGGCGATGTATGTATGATGACCTTGTGCCTCCGTTTTCTCCTATCTCCTGCCCTTTTGTCTCCTCCACTTGCATCCGGAATGTCATCGTCAGTCTCTCGACTTCGTAAGATACTAGCTATGCGAGCCCCCAGAGCTCTTGACTGTGTCCAGCCACCATAGGTAAGAGGAGGGTCGTAGGGAGTGGGGGATGTGAGATGCCACTGCTTATCAGCAGCGTCTAGTCGAGCGCCGTGTCTGTGTGGCCGTCAGTATAAAGCCGTCTTCTGGTATTGACATTCGCCCCCCACTCGACTCCTGTCAAGAAGAAGAATGGAACAGTAAACAGGCAGAAATAAGGGATTCAAAAAGGTCTCGGGAATGGACATACCTGACGACAATAACAACAGCTGGTGGCCAACCCATTATGTTCTCACGACGTTGGTGAGGCTCCAAGAATTCTTCCAAAAGGTTTGAAGGATGCAAAATCAAGGGTCTTTAGCGGGGTGGGGGGCGTTGCGTTTGCGGAGTGCATGTGACGGTGCTGGTGGTGTAGCCTCAATTGCTTGGTAAGCCGGGCCGCCATTATTCAGGGGCAGACGCAGGGCGCAGGGCGCGACTATTACATATTGCTACCAATACCCAAATATATTTCCTCTGTCCCCAAACCAAAAACCTTCAACTCCATGATTCTACGGAACTCCATGATTCTACGGCCATAATACCCTCACTATGAAGCTCGCAAGCTTCCTCCGTTTGCCCGTGCTACTGGCATCAGTACTCGCGCCAATCCCCATCGCCGCAGAGCATACAAGCAACTGGGCAGTTCTAGTTTCCACCTCCCGATTCTGGTTCAACTACCGCCATCTAGCCAATGTGCTCTCCCTCTACCGAACTGTCAAGCGGTTAGGAATCCCAGACTCACAAATCATCCTCATGCTGCCTGACGACATGGCATGCAACCCGCGCAACGCCTTCCCGGGAACCGTATACAGTAACGCGGACCGCGCCGTGGATTTATATGGAGACAATATCGAGGTTGATTATAGGGGATATGAAGTTACGGTGGAGAATTTTATAAGGCTGTTGACGGATCGCGTGGGCGAAGAGATGCCGCGGAGTAAGAGGCTGTTGACGGATGATCGGAGTAATATTCTGGTGTATATGACGGGGCATGGGGGGAACGAGTTTTTGAAGTTTCAGGATGCCGAGGAGATTAGTGCGTTTGATTTGGCGGATGCTTTTGAGCAGATGTGGGAGAAGAAGAGGTGAGAAGATCCCGGAGCGGTTACAGTGGTACAAAGCTGACGAGACAGATATCATGAGCTTCTATTTATGATTGATACGTGCCAGGCGAATACTATGTATAGCAAGTTCTACTCCCCGAATATAATCGCCACGGGCTCCTCCGAAATTGATCAATCCTCCTACTCCCACCACGCAGACAACGACGTTGGAGTGGCTGTTATTGATCGGTACACATACTACAACCTGGATTTCCTAGAGACACAAGTGCGGGAACCAAGCAGCAAGATGACACTCGGGGATCTCTTCGACAGCTACGATGAATCTAAAATCCACTCGCATCCAGGCGTTAGATGGGATCTATTCCCCGGTGACGAGCAAGGAGGCCGGGAACGATTGGTTATGGATTTCTTTGGGAACGTGCAAAACGTCGAGGTGGATAATGCTGGAGGGAATGATACGGAGTGGAGGGAGGACCTATTACAATTGGGTAAGAAGATTGCGGAATTGCGAGAAAGAGCTGAAGCACAAGACGCTGCTGTGAAGAACAACACTGTCCCGGAATCTAAAGGAGGAACTCATCCCTCACGCAAAATCAGAGCTGCAAAAGTGGAGATAGATGAGACATGGTGGGGGAAGAAAGCTGTTGGTGCATTGGCCTTGGGTGGTTGCGCTATTGTTTGGTTAGCCGGGACTTATCAGGATTCTACGTAGTTCATTTTAATTGAACAATCTAGTAACATACCAGTCCAATTACTTCAGCTTGCCGTTATATTCCTTTTAGGGACCTAGTCTATAGCGGTAGGATGGACTGGGCACATCGTATTAGTAATGATGAACTATGTGAAACGCTGAAGGTTGTAATAGCGTAGGTATCAAGTAAAAGTGATTGTTGGAAGTTTTGCCACTCTGTATAGGCAGAGCTCGTCTATAAGGAGTTTCCTTCTACAAATTTACAATAACTTGGAAGCAGAGTAGTTCGGGACTCGCTTTAGATATGTTGAAGCGCGCCCGTAGGGTCATATTGGTTAATTCGGCACGGCAGTGCCCGCCACGGCTCCATATATGGCACATTACAGGAAAACGGGACCGACAAGTCAAAGAACTCCGGCGTCGTCACATGCATAATAGGCGCCAATAACACTGCCATCTCATCAGCCGTCATCTGGCGTCATGGCAGGGCTCAAAGCGCAGTTCCACGCGCAGTTCTTGGAGTCCTTTCATACTGGCGAGATTCGTGCACCAGCGTTTATACCTAAAATATCGGAATTTCCTTGATGCTCCGGGGCGGGGCGGGAGAGGAGGACCACGATTGAGACCAGCTGGGCAGAACACGAAGCGGAATGAGCGGATAGTGTCGATTCTATGTCTTGGGAGAAGCCGCGGGAGAAACTCGACGTTGTCGGCGATGGCGGTTCTGAATTCATTGGTTGTGTAGAATAATTGGGCGGTTTCTGAATATCTGAGACGTGTGTAAGGTACCTCATCTCAAGGCATGTTTTCACTTGGATTACTTACATTTGATGGCAGGTGAGGAAAAGCGACATTGCCCCGCCTATGCTGATTTTGTCGTTCGGTGGCTCGCAAGGATAGTCGTATTCGCAGCAAGTGCGGGATGAGATTCTGCAAAAACGATTGCCATTGTCCCAGGATTCTAGATTATAAAAGTCAATGTTTGGTATTGATAAGGCATTTCAAATGAAACCAAGAAGCGCTTTTTGAAAGAAAGCGGAGAGGTCAAAGAACTCAAATATAGGACATTAAGAATTCTGGATGCCTCTTACTGATATGTACCCAACTACTACCAACACAGTAATCCCAGATCATCTCGCGGATTTCGGGGGGGGAGATTAAGAAGTAAAGAGTCCGTTTGAAGTACTGGGCTCGCAGGTGTCTTCGTATTGTCCCTGGAACCCATCAAAGTCATCGCCTGCTGACGCTTCGACTTATAATATATTCCACGGGGCGGTGGGTGACAACGACATTCTCCATATGCGATTTGACGCTTCTTCTCATCCGCATAGGATCTCCACAGAAGGAAAGGAAAAATGACTGGGCTAGTTGGGATCAAGACAATGACACCCAACGTGATCATCGGATAATACGTCCAGGTTGGAAGGTCATGTTGAGTCATCTTCTGAGGAACTTTGTTTGGGATATCAAGAGTGAAGTTACGCAATAAAGGGGGGAGGCTATAGGTATATATACTGTAAAGACGCAGAAGGCGCAGAAGCCACAGCCTCCTTCTTGTAGCCTTGCTGTGGACACGCTAACACTCTTTGATTGATACTGGGAAATTATTGATAAATGCCTCATGACCAGATAACTAGAGAAAGTATGCAAAGCATTGAGGTCTTTCGCAGTATATAAAAGTTGACTGGATGTTTGAAGAGAACCGGAAGATGTTACACCACGGTGAGGCGGGCGTTATATATATAAGATAGATTAGCCTAGGCCAACGCATTGCCGAGGTTTCCCCATAACCACCAAATACCTGCCTTTGTAAAAGATTCAGCCTTGCGCTATATCCAACAACATCAACAAAAGCAATGCCATTGAACAAGGGAAACCACCACGGGTGACCTTAAGACGTGCCAGATATACAATTGGTCATTTAACATGGGTATCCACGGAAACTAGCCAACTCCTACAACTACTTCCTAGCGTCAATTATGGCCATCCTCGACGGCTTTCTCACCTCCATCTCGGGCTTTCTGAGAGCCAAAGACGCATTGCAATTGAAGTCGTGGCTTGCCGTCGAGCCACCAGTCGATGAGCAGTACTACAAGCTTGCCCAGGAGTTAAAGGTCTCCTTCCGCGACGGCGATCACCTCGAACGGCGCATTACGAAGCTAATTCCCGAGAACGACGATGGCAAGGCTGACGAAGGGGATGTGTGGCCTGGCTTCCTGGTATTCATGAAAGATTACTTGGAGTTCTGGAGGGACGTCAATTTCGAGGACCTGTTGCAGACACATTTGCAATTGACTGGGCTAGTCAAGTACGTATATCCTCAAGGCCATCTTGAACATTTGAATAATGGAAATCTACAGCGCTTGCATTACCGCTTTATCTAACTCAAGCCATGGCATTGTTGTGCTCCCAACTGCTATTCAGCTATCACAGGCCTTGTCCACTCTTGCGATGACTCTCGACAATCGACCAGATTTGACACGGCGGCTGCGCAAGGTTACGGATATCGATCAGGGGGAAACAAGGAAAACGCTGGTTGAGAGCACTGCAGAATCTATACAAAGGGCATTTACGATGTGCTTGACCGAAAGAAGCTCCAACCGGAATGGTATAGGACGAGATGGGAAGCCTGAAGGAAAGAAGATTGGCATATACTCGTTCGCAAACCTGGCATTGAAGTTGTTCTTCAAGGTAGGGTTAAAATACCCCCCAGAATTACATATAACTGATTAAAATTACAGTGCCGGAAGACACAATCCGCAAACCAACTCTTTACCAACATCTCACAGCACTCACCTCCGCTTGCTCTCTATCCCGCCAGCCAGCGCGTTACATATCTGTTCTATCTTGGGCGCTTCCTCTTCATCAACGACTCCTTCTACCGCGCCCAATTATGTCTGCAATCTGCCTACGATCAGTGTCATGCTCAATGCATAAATCAAAGACGAAATATCCTCATCTATCTCATCTCAGCAAACATGATACTCGGTCGGTTTCCCTCGCGACCTTTCATGTCACGTCCCGAGGCCGCTGGGATTCTCGAAAAATTCGCCCCAATCTCAAAAGCAATCCGAAAAGGTGATATAGTTGCCTTCAAGCGTGCCCTGGGGCCCGAGTCTGGAAACGAGCAGTGGTTCTTCCAGAAAGGTGTCCTCCTTCCACTACTTTATCGATGCGAGATCCTAGTATGGCGATCCCTCGCTCGTAGGGTGTTTCTCCTTACATATACCTGGCCATTTGATTTGAATTCTCGAAAAGCACCAACTTTGGAAATCACGGATCTGGTAGTCGCTGCACAATATTGCCAAAAGGTTTTAGAGGGGTGGCAAAAGCCGGTTGATTCTATGGCTGTCATGCAGTCGGGACGCACACACCCAAATACGTTGTTTATGAAAAGTCATGATTTAGTTCCACCTCCTCAAGGACCCAAGAAGCTCGGGGCGCAAGGAGGAACTGTGTATGGCAATAAAATGCCGGACCTGTTAGAGATTGAAGCTATTGTCGCAAGTCTTGTACAGCAGGGCTTACTAGGTGGATTCATCAGTCACAATCAAGGCAAATTCGCAATTCTAGGTGCAAAGATACGAGGTGGGCCATTGAATGCAGGGTTTCCTGGTGTCTGGGAGGTTGTGAAAACTCGAGCTGAACGGGAAGGCAAGAACACTGAAGTGCCAGCATGGGTTCGAAGTGAGAGGAAAGCCCCGATGGGAGGGGTTGTCAACCTAAGTGGTATCGCGAGACCTGTAGGAAGTGGCGGATGAGGGAAATAAATGTTAGGACTCGAGACAGAATAAGGAGCCAAGGAGGACCTACTACCTATAAACTACAACATTGCGATCAGAAGACGGATATCATCTCTCGGTCAAGAGGTGCGACAGATTCAAGTCAAAGCACGAATAAACGCAGAGCACTGGCAAGTCCATCAAGCTTCAGCATTTAGAAGCATAGTTTGAGATCTCGGTGTCTCAATCGAATGTACTTTAGTCACGTGTAAATTACAGACTACAAGCATCTTGTAACATGCTGCAAGCCGGCAGATTTACATAGCATAGCATAGCATATTAACATCATCGCTCATCCAACCTTCGCTTGCTTCGAATACTTACTGTTTCTTGTCCTTTGACTTCGCCCCTACCCCTGCTTTTGCTCCTGTGCCTATGTCTACCTTTGGCGCAGCCTTCTCAGGTGCTCTTTGGCAAACAGAATTTAAGAACGAGGTCTGGATCTAGATTATGCCTTTCCCGCACCAGAATGATGCTGCAGGCCATATCGTAGGGTTCTTCTCCAGCGTCAGAGTCTCGCGGATTTCCAGCTCTCCCCAGCGCATCCTAGTAAGGTTCAATAAGCCATTATCATTTATAATTACTTGCATAATTAGAAAGAAAGAAACGTAACTTGTGGAAGGCGCTATATGATATTATAAAGGCCTATAATTGGGGAGCAATTCAGATTGAAAGGGGACGGAAACTTGATTTTGGGATTTATGGGGACTTATTTGGCAATTATAGTCTCAGATTATGATATATGTCAGATTATGTCCAGTCCTTAGCAAAGACAACCAATGATTGAGATTGCGGCTACGTTATCCAAGATGCCATTTGCTAAAGACGAGATTCCTATCGCCTATAAGTGTAGCTTTCTCAATTCTTCGAACTCTGCTCCAATATTTGGCGATAGCAGAGCCTTCGATGTTTTGTTTGCGAACCCACTCGTACTTGTCATCCAAGTCCCAATCTCCTGCCCAGCCAACGAGGTATTCTTGAGCTTGCTTGCGATTCCCCGCCAACGGTTTGTGCGTCAAAATCTCTTCCACAATCCACTGGCTATCATCTGCGCCAACCTGTAATATGCGGTTTTCTTTATCTTTGTCCATCGTAGATCTGGTCTCTTGTTTGCCCTCTCCTTGCTCGCTTGTGGTGACGCTACCTACACGCCCAGCAGGCAAATCTTCGTATTTGTCTTTGCCCAGTTCAGGGCTCGGTCTCGCTCCGAGTTGCTTTCCGTGGATAGCATAAGAAGCTACATTGCATTTCTGCGAGTTGGTATCTGTGTCTGCAACTCTAGCCGCAAGATCCTGGAGACCAGTGACGCTGTCATCTTCTTGCACGACTTTCAGGAATCCGACGCGGATCCCCTCGCTCACCACTTTAAGTTCCTCTATACTCAGTCCCAGCTCCCACATTCTCTCCTCACTTACGCTATACCTCCTCACCAACGTTTCCCTTAGAACCTGGCTCCACACCAAGAATAGTCCATCGGCTTCTGACAGTGTGGTGCCCGTATCTATAGAGCGGACAGTTTCACGCAGGACTTTGTGCAATTCCACCGCGCTGAAGACCAGCGCTTTGTGTTTCTTTAGCCGCTCTCCAGATATCGCGTACACGGTCCATGAGCCTTCTAGACCCGCCATCTTGGGTGATGCAATCCTGCGTTCCTTTATCTCTCCCTCTGCTGCTTTCCTCGTTGTCCACAGCGAAACGAACTTGCTCTTCGGCACGATATCTAGGGAATTACTGTCGGCGTGTTGTGTAGGGTCGAAATGGCGGATGAGCATTTCCCTCAAGCTAGCCAAAGAGTCCGGAGGATTTGTTACTGTATCTGAGGCGCTGAAACCCGTTCGGAGGAAAGATCTAGCGGCCGAGGCTTGCTGGAACTCTGCACGGTAGAGGGTTGTAGGGATGTTTTCGGAGCCGACGCTGTAGTTTTGTATTGAGAAGTTTTCCGGGTTGTCGTTGCGGGATACAAGGGCTGATGTAGAGGATTGGGTGATTTTATCTTTCTCGTTTCTCTTTCCCTTTGCAGGAGTAGATTTCAAGTTTGGAGACATGTTGAAGTTTACGTCTGATCTTGTTTTCACCAACGCTCTTGGTATTGAAATCCAGACTCAAGATTTGAAGAGCAAGACATCCACCCACTTTATATCTTTGTTGAAGGTTGGTGAGGCCGGTGCATATGTCATTGCGAATTGGTCACTCCTGCTTTGTATTCACCGCAAAAATGATGCTTCCTGTGAATTGGATTCGAAACAACTTCCTGAACAACCCTAGAGGATGTGTGTCCTTAAAAGAACTCGCAACTTTCTTCTAGGGCTCTTTTAAGAATCTATGCCATATGATCACATGTACTATATATACTTTTACTTCTTGATTCCACAAAACATGACATTTAAGGATGCTAAAAACTTTGCACACCAGGTAGGTTATTAAGAAGTCTGATGTTAACTACTATAGCAGTTTCCACCAACTGGACATGCCAGCGAAATGAATTATATATTCATTTATATTACCCGTGATGTGCTGTGATCCAGTCCGATCTTGTTTACCTACCTTAGTTTCTCTTTAAATTCTCATCTTTTACTGTAGGTTTCAGTAGTAGGTATTCAGCTTCCTCATCAGCAGGCTCTTTTGCATGCACCATTCCTACCTAGGTACGGAGCGATAGTTTCCCCAGATGTGTCTCACCTCCACCTCCACCCTACTCCCTTTAAACACCACACCACACCACACCACACCACACCACACCACTATCCCACGCTTCCACCTCTGGCTTTACGACTCAGATCTCGCCACCCTCTTCCCCCTGAGTCCTACCTATCCACCAATGACAAGTCGACAATCCTCATATGGTCATCATCACCTGATCTCCATACTACGGCATCTATTCTCACACCTCTCTATCGCGTGTTGAAATTGCTCTATTCCCTAGTGTGACTTTGTTTTAAAGTGCCCATCAACATATAGATAGAGCCTTAACGTGTATCGGCTTTTAACCTCTCCTGTCCTCTCAAGCGACTATAAACATGCCTTCTTGAATTATATAAATACAAATTCTCTTTATACCAGCCAATGCATTTTCAGCCGGCTTTTGCCTACATTAACTTCCTAGAACGTTATAAGGGAAAAACTTGGCTCGACATTATTATCTCCATAAAACGGTTTATTTGCGTGGTATTTGTCTCTCTATGATAAAAGGTAAAGAGGCGGCATACGCCTATTCTAGTTTTGGAAGATTTATAAAGCAAGGAACTATGTAATTCTAGCCGTAGAATAATACATCCTCTTTTCTTACAACGCCCCTTGTTCTATATACTCCTTCTACCAAGTCTAATATTATCTTTTCCACCCTTTATTAATTCCCTGTCGTGCTTAAACCTTAACTTTTGTTTATCAATCAAATCTGCTATAGTACAAAAGCACATTGCCCAGAGCCCGCTAAAAGCTAAACCACCGCTAAAACACTCGAGAGCCCTGCTAATAGCTATTTACAAATAAAAGCTTACACGCCCTATGCTATATTCTAGGGAAAACCACTCATAATCACCTAAGCAAAAAGCCCCACCGGAGGTACTTGCGGCTCCGGACCATGCAACTTCCAATAAAGGTCCAGACAGTCGACTCCCAAATTCGGTTCAGGCTCCCATGTATCCTCGTAGCCCTCTCCGACCCACTTCACCAGATACTCTCGATAGAGCGTGCCTTTCCTGTTGCGCACGTACAGTCCTGCTTTCTTCTTCCAAAAACCCCAGGCGTGGTTGAGGACATCGGCGACGGCGAATTGGTCTTCTTCTTGGTGGTAGTGTATCTTTGTTGTTTTCTTTGGGTTCGTGGTGATTTGGTGGGTGCGCTTGCGTATTATTGTTGATCTGGTGGGCTTGAGGGTAGACTTTGAAGGTGCTTTGTTGGAGGGAGTGGCGGATATGGATTGGGTGGGTGGGTTTTGGAAAGGCTGGAAGCGGGTGGAAGGATGAGGTTTTATAGAGTTTGATCGTGTGATTTTTGCAGTTTTTCGTCTTGTTTTGATTGGCGAACCTTTCTCGGAGACCTTTCGGTAATTTCTTGTAGGCTTTGTGGTAGCTATATTTTCTCTCGCTCCGGTTTCCAACTCTTTCTTCTCGACCATAGGCTCATAGCTCACGATTGCCTCTTTAGGAACCTTCTTCCAAACTAGGAATACACCCCTCACCTCCTCCTCGGAAATCTCATTCTCGGTAATGAAACTCCTCACTACCAAAGCATCCCATAGCTGACATGCGTCGATAATGAGAGCGTCCCTATCAAGTAGTTGTGTAGAAATGATGCACAAGTGACGGTTCTTTTGTTCGTTCCTGAAGGCCATCATAGCATGCTCAATCTCCACCATCTCCTGCGCTCCAATAATCGTGGCATCTCGTGTCTGGAAATCACCTCCGCTCAATTCAATTCCCGCCTTGATAGCCTTCTCCCGCTGCAACTTATGGAGTTCTCCAGTCTTCCAATTCGCTACAGCTTGGTGATACTCGGTCTCTACAAATGTGTTCAGGCTTTCAGTCTCCTTATCAACGTCAGATCTGTAGCGTCTTAGTGCCACGAAGGGACTGCTCGCTAGAAGTGTTCGACGATCAGAAGCATCGATAGTGGCGTTAGCGTGACGTTGAAGTTTGCAGTGGCTGAAGAAAAGTTTGGATAGAGCTTTGTATGTGGTTGGGAAGGCTAGTTCGGGATAGGTGGTAAAGAGACCGACGGAGAGGGGGGAGCTGAAAGATGAGGGGAGAGTGTATGTAACACAGCCTAGAGATTTTGGGAGTGTTGGGTTTTGGGAAGGAATGGATTCGCTCCAGCGGTTAGGGAACTCGACGTTCTCATCGATTTGTCCCCATTCTGCTTTGATTTTGGATAGAGATAGTGTTCTTGTTGCTTCTGCAGTAGTCGGCCACAGGTAAGGGTTTGTGAATGGGCTGAGTGGCCATGGCTTTTTTGCCTCGTTTGGATCTAATAAAGGAGTGCGTGGTTGTGTGGTGGTCTGCTTTGCCCAAGGCGATGTGTAAGGGCCTCTTGAAACAATAGGTTTGCGGACTGACTTGTCCCTTACCATGTTGATGGTAATGGTCAGGCGTGGATAAGAGGAGCGGTGGTGAAGTTGCGGGTATAAGATGATAGCCGAAAGCCTTTTTGGCCACCTGAATGGTGAGACGAAATGATAAGGTTAGGTAGGCAATGTATCTGTCGATCTTTGTTGTCCGATGAGGTTTCGAGACAGTTGGTTGATATAACCCCTTCTACAGAGATTTACAGAGTGGTGATGAAATGATGTCACGAGGTTGGGTTTTCTGGTGGTTGTTAGTCAAAGTGTTTGGAAAGACTCGAATGGCATCCATTGTAAGAGAAATTCGGGAGTGAGATTAAGCGAGCGTTGCCGACTTTGTAAAATTTGTAAACATACTTCGCTCTTTCCAGCCAATAAGTGGGCCGTTGTGGCAAATCCGGGTACAAGTCCCTTACTAAACTATAAACGGAACAAGTCTTCAAGCCAGACATAATGGACTCTAATATAGGTATCCCATCTCTCTTTCATTATGTACTTTGCATGGTATCAGTTAAGTCCGCGGAAGTCAGGGAAATACTTTAGGATTGCGCTTTACTCTCCCCTAGCCCTACTTTTTAAAGACACACACACATAGCATTCAAGAAACATACAAGAGACTTTCAACTATGACTAGCCAAGGGAAATCATCTGTAGTTCGGAGGAGATCCCCTCGGCCTATTCAAGACTGGCTGTTTCAGCTGCGGTCTTGAAAATCTGATGCCAAGATTTCGTATACGTTGATGGCCTAATCGGGGCACGATTTCCAGTTCAAGTAATCCAACACCGCGTAGTCACCTCGAGCGCAAATGTCTCCCAGAGTTAACAAAGTCTTCGCATTTTCCGATGGAACGTCATTTGGCGTATTCTGAACCACAAGTCACAGAAATGTCTGCTTCAGATGTTGCCCCCTGAACTAGACAAAGAACTTTTCACTTGGACAGAAAAGGAACTGACTAATAGTTACTTCAGATAGGACTTGTATTTGTGTATGAAGTCTCTGTTCTACTATGGTACAGTCTAACAGACTTTCCAATGGAATATCACACTACGTCGAAGCCGCGATGAGGGACTCTCCAGAAATCAGGTCTCGATGCCGGCTCTTCTCCCCACGGTGGTCTTTGCTGAGGCTTCTGTTTCCCTTCCCGATAATCGTCCACAGCAACCTCTGTCAAGTTCTCCTTCGGTTCCCACGACTCCGGCAAACCAGCCAATTTCCATCTGATCCTGTACTCCAGAAAGTCGTTGCCACTCCACGGTCCCCCGTCGAGGGGTTTGTTGCCCAACACTAGTTAATAATCTTGTCGATAAGCAAGAATTCCCACTCCTTCAACTTCTCCTCTTCGGTAAGCATGGGCTTGGGCTTCTTCACAGAGATGCCTTTGCTGCCGAAGGAGGCACTTCGCAGCTTCATCGGCTCCCGTGGCTGGACAGCGGTGGAGCGGGAACGTTGATTAACTTGGCCATGATCGTCGTTCTTGTCGTCGGGGTCATCTTCACCTGGTCCCATGCGGTCAATACCTTGAGAACGCGTGTGTGCTTTTTTCGAAATCCTTGTCCCGACACTCGAATACCGGCAGCTTGCGGGATAGCCTCCTCGAATCCCAACTCTCTGATTTTCTCCTGTTTGATTGCGGTGTAATTCGTACTGTCGACCACAGCTTCCTTCGGCACATGTCCCCACGCCCAAAACTCACGCCCGTCGAACATCGCTTCGTGTTCGAAATCACCATCAAGGACTCGATTTTGAAGAATGAAGTTGACATCAAAGAGCTTGACACTGCGTTTTGCAAGTTCCTGGCCGCTGATGCCCCAGACTTTCATGTTGAGCCTTTGCGAACTTTCCTCTTCCAGCAACTGACCCTTTTGTATTCTGAAGCCGCCCCATACATCGCCACTTTTAGACAGTCTCAGCTCATAATGTTATCATTTGATTTGCGCTTGTAGGAGTACAAGGAGATAAGGCTACTATTGCTCTATAGTTTGGGACCAAAGTGGGATTCGTGCTCTCGGCGTTTGAGATGATCATTGAGGGCTATGCTTTGATGTTCCACTGGATCTGGGAAGTTCTGGAAAGCTGTGGCTCGGATGCCTTTAGTGAGGGGATTGTAGAGACGGCCGTCCATGACACTGTACTCGGAACAGTAGAGCCATTCTGGGAAGGAGTCGGGAGATTTGAGGACGTTTTGCATTGTCGGAGGAATTTTGACTGCTGGTTCGATTACCCATAGCGAGTTGTTTGTCTTTTCTGGATCCTGTGGATTTTTTTTTTTGGATGTTTGCAATGTTCGTGCCCTGGCCTCAACAAGTGTGATCCGAGTTCCAGGGAAAGGTGGATGAGATGATCGAAAAGGCCCGAAGAAAAAGGTCTCTGGCCTTGATATATATTTTCCCTCGAGATCTGGCCAGGATCCCGGAATCCACTCCGATAGGAAGGAGTTTTCTAGCAGCTTGCGTCGAACTTCCGTTCTTTGATGTCTCGTCTCAACGAGAACAATCAAGAACTCAGCGGGATTAGAATAGAACCAGCCTCAACTATGGAAGCTGGAAGAAAGTTCGAAGTAATAATCACCAGGTGGTTGTAGAATAGAAGAGATTGGTATACCGAAGATGGAAGACGATGTCTGATGAGATGTATCTACTACATAATTCTATAGATCCTAAATGGTTCAGGATGTCTCTCAAGTTGAGTCTCACGTTGAGATCAAACTTGAGATTACCAGAATCTTCCTCAACACTGCGGTAACTTAAACCTATTTACAGAACATTCTACATCTTTTAATATCCAACATTTGACTGTCTGGAGTTGGGGGGGGTCTTTGGCAATGGTAGCGCAAGAATGCGGGGATATTATGTACATATGTTACGAAAAACGCATAGTACATTAGAGCCATACCCCGCGTATTGAGCTGGTCCTATAGATCTGGTGAACTTTTCTATTGGGGATCAAACATAGTGGAAGTCGACACATATTTTAGTAATAAAGCGACTCGGAAAAGGGGGAGGTATGTCGACCGTTTTAGGCGAAGCTCGACCTTACCCCTTGCCTGACCCACTCACCCCACCGAGGTACTATAGCACCCCACCCCACCAACTTCCCGTCGGCCTGAACTCGACTCGTCAACTGCAACTATCCGCGTTCAAGAGATACACCACGTTCCACGCTCCACGACATAATACACTCAACCTGGTTGCTGGCTTCACTTCCCCCAATTAATTTTCCGCGATACCACACCGGCATACCAGAAACCGGAACTTTCCTGACTTGTTCCACGTTCAATTGCCCAAGGCGCATCTCGAGTCCTCCCCCACATCAACACAACAGATTCACAGCACCTGCACCCTCCCGCCAGAACGCCAGCAATTACGAACCTCGAGAATCTCCCAACTCCGAATGTCTTTGCTTCCTATTTAAAGAGCACCCCTTGTCGAAAAATCCCCGTCAAGTTTCCGCTTCACCGCTTCTTCTCTTTTGCTCAACGAGAAAAGGAGTCGTTTATTCAAAACAACCCGCATCTACGCCTGGATATCCTCCTCAAAGCCTACAACCATGTCACAAGTCTCGGCAGGAGCAGCCGGACTACTCCAGAGACAGCTGAAGGCAATGCAGCAGGCAAAAGACCTCCCCGGGATATCTTGTGGACTGGTGGACGACAACGTGTTTGAGTGGGAGGTGATGCTGATGATTAGTGACGATTGCAAGTACTACGGCGGTAAGTTCCTCCCACCCCACGCATGATATTATGATACGATATTACATGAATACGAGGGCTGGGCTAAACAAAACGGTCACCCCGCCAGGAGGTAACTTCCGCTGTCACTTGTCCTTCCCAACGTCCTACCCACACATGCCGCCAAGCCTCACATTCAAGGACCCCATCCCCTTCCACCCGAACATTTACCCCAACGGCGTCTTGTGCATCTCGATCCTGCACCCGCCAGAGGAGGACCAATATGGCTTTGAGAGCGCGGCGGAGAGATGGAGTCCGGTGCAGACGCCGGAGACGATATTATTGAGTGTTATCAGTCTTCTGCATAGTCCTAATGACGAGAGTCCGGCAAATGTGGAAGCGGCGAAATTGTGGAGGGAAGAGAAGAGTGGCGGCAAGGAATTTAAGAGGAGGTGTCGGAAGGTGGTGAGGGAAAGTTTGGGCGAGGATTGATTAGTAGGGTACGAGCTGGTCACAGACACCTGCAAGTTTGGGAGTTCATATTAGGTGCTTCTGGTTGGGTATGGAGTTTGTTGTTATGCATAGTGGTTCTTTGGCATGCATTTAATACATCGGGGGAGTTTTGGTTTTACAGACCGGAAGCGTAATGAAAGAAACATATTCTACATCTCATTTTCCATCACGTGGCGAACGGTTCTTGCTATACCAGTCTATATACAAGCTTAGTGGCTAATTTCATTACACTAAAGGCTAATCTTTGTCTTGGGAAACGACAGCTCTTGGATCTCGCTATTGACTAGGCCTTGCATAGGAGCATCATTTACTCATGCAGCTTAGCTTTGGTAATGTGGCTTCCATTCATACCATTCTTATACCCCCCCCTGTATAAAACCCCCATACCATTTGCTGAGCGATGCAAGTACTGCCCTCCCGCGTTGAGAGCGAGATAAGTCTAAAGACGACCCCGCGCTCCTCCTACTACACCTCGTGACAATCGCCCGCGGTTGCACATCCCCAGCGATCCCTTCCAACAAGTAAGATTACATTCTCACATCCAACCAGAAAACTCTAGTTGCCTCTTCCTCTTGCTTTTCAGACGAAGCCGTCTGCAAAGCATCCAACCTCTGAACACCCAGCTCACACAACTGCAATTGCAATACTTGCAACTCGTCATGTGCCAGCACAACGAGCGCTATATTCAACAAGTTCAAAGCAAAGAAGAGGCGGACGTACGTACCGAGGTCAAATATCTACTCACCAACCGCAGCACCGGCTTCAGAATCTCCCAAATGTCCGGATTCTTCGCGATCCACGTCCCCGGTTCTTTTCCTCATAAATCATACGGTTTGCCGATTGCGTGGACGGGACTTGGTTCTCTCTCTGCGTGCATGAGTAGCCAATCTCCTTCCCCGTTGTCTTGCGCGAATAGGGGACTATGACAATTCCATTCTACTAATCAGGCTCTAGTTACATATATACTCTGCCAATGCCACTCGACTGCCAATTTTTGAATAAGTCACGACACTTGCAGTATCCCGTTCGTCAACTCACTTTCCTCGGCACTGAGATCGGGATACACTCATAGATCAACCAGGTCCCGGGCCTGGAAGCCATGTAATAGCACCAAGCGCTGGTATTGCTCTTAAAAGAGTACTTTATGACTTGGCGTCTGTACGGGAAAGCAGTGTGCGGGGTTCAGTGGGCGTGTAGCCTGTTTTCGTTTTAGTTAATCGAGGGTTGTGATTTATTATAGACAGTAGGAAGTTTTCAAGGGGATGGGAAGACAGACCTGATTTCCTTGATGGGGTTGAAGAGGTCTACTGTATTGCTGGAAGCGAGGAGGATGCCATATTTTTCGGCGTAGGACGTTGGGTGAGGGGATGCTTGAGGGGTTGGTAGAGGCCGGGGACGGACACATGTGGGTGGCATTTTTTGCCAGATATTTAGGTAGATGGATGATAGTATTTTGAAAGAATGTGGGGGTGTTAGGCAATAGTGGGTGGGAACTCAAAGTCAAAGACGTTTATTGGATTCCTTACCGGATTGGGAAACGGGATTGGTACAATGCATGCTGTGGAAGAACAATGGAACAAGTCTTGATTTCATGCTTAGTGAAGGATAAAAAAAGAAACTTTGATTTGCGCTGGATATTGAGTCGTGGAGGTTTTGCGCTCGCTTCGTTTGAAAAAGGAGAGGGTCATATGCGACTGCTAACAAGACGAGGTAAAGTCGACTGAAATGCGGCTGCATCAAATCAATCAAATCACCACCTTTCCCTTGACATCCGCCGCACCCCCCTTGTCACCAAACATCTCCCTCAGATCCCCAACTAATAGCTCCGGCCTCTCATACGCCGCAAAATGCCCCCCATCCGCATGACGCCTTTCAAACACCAAATCTCCCAACCCGGCGCCATACTTACTCGGCGGAACACTTAAATCCTGTGGAAAGTAACTCAACCCCATCTTCACAGCACCATTATACCCATACAGCTTCCTCCCCTCCTCCTCAACATTAGTATGCGTCGCCTCGTAGTAAATCCTCGTACTGGCCTCTGGTCCGGCGCGCGAGAACTGGTAGATGGAAATCCACGTCAAGACCTCGTCTTCAGTCCAAGGATACGAGTCGGTCCAATCGTGCAGCTTCTCGTAGATCCAGCTTAAGAGCGCGAGCGGGGAGTCGCGGAGCGCGAAGCCGATGGTGGAGGGTTTTGTGCTTTGTAGGGAGTTGTAGCCGTAGCCCTGTTCTGTGAACCATTGGGTGCGTTGGATGCCTGCTTGTTCTTGGGGGGTGAGGGGGCTGGTGTTGGTGGATAGGAAGGAGGCGAGAGTTTCGGCGCGGATTTGAGCGACGTTTAGATGTGTGGCCAGGCAGTGGGTTGGATAGTTGGCGCCTACGAGGCGGGTTATGGAGAAGCCCCAGTCGCCGCCTTGGGTCACTAGGGATATTGTTAGTAGGATGACCTAGAAAACAAACTTGTAAACTTGCCGTATTTGTCGTATCCAAGGTTCAGCATGACCTTGTGAATAGCTTCAGCGTACTGTGATCTACCAAAAGCAGGTTGCTTGACACCTTGCGAGAATCCAAAGTTGGGCAGAGATGGTGCTACGATATGGAATGTTGGCCCGTCTGGGTTCTCCAAAAGAAGAGGCAAGATCTTCGAGACTTCAACGAAACTTCCTGGCCCTGATCTAGTCAGTTGATGTAGGATTTGGGGTGACAAACGAGGAGACTTACAGCCGTGACAGAATAGCAACGGAATACTGTCGGTTTTTGGGGATTTCTTATGCACGAAATGCATCTCCAGGTCTCCAAACCCATCTACATGCACTTTCGTTGTGAATTGTGGCAGCGTGTCATTTAGCTTCTTCTCTTGAGCACGCCAATCAAAGTCATCTCGCCAGTACTTGATCAGGCGTTTCATATCAGAGAGGATAGTGCCATATTTCCAGTCATCGGAGAAGTCGACTTCTGCTGGGAATGTGGTGGCAGCGAGTTTGGCTTTCGCCAAGGTAAGAGCAGAGTCAGGGACGGAGATCTTGAAGGGTGTGATTTGGGCGGCCATTGTGAAGGGAGGAATGTGGAAGGTTTAGTAATAGTACGGATGTTATGAGATTGATTTTAAGAAGTGGTTGGACGATTGTGAAATGCAGAATGGGGGAGCTTTCGAAAGGGACATGCGGAGCTTTATAGACTTGACCACTCCTGATGAACTCCAATACAGTATCGTCTGCATACATACAAGCAACGTGAAACGTATGGTTTATACTTACTCTGCTTACCTGATGTGCAAGACCTGAAGTCTTATGTAATTCGCAACCTCCCCCTCCTCTTCTGCAGGAAGCTGTAAACATGCGGGGTGAAGTCAGAGACATTCCGCCTTATGTCAGCATCTAGGTGAAGCGCTTACATAATACTATTCTGTCTGGGGATTGAAATTGGCCGCAAGCAGTTGAGGAGAGTGTGCCAATAATATTCAAGCATTTTGTTTTATCTATTCGAATACTGATTACCATCAATAGTTTATATTGTGCCTGTGATGTTGATTGTTTCTCCTTTTCAATTATGCTCCACTCTTTCCGCTCCCACACCCGCTCAACCGAGGCTATGTTACTATACCATCCCATCCATGCCCATCTATAACTTCACATCACACTCCAACATCCCGTGATTCCAACACAATACCACCCCATTCATCTCACCCATACTCCATTCCAACCTCTCTCCCCTCCTCCCCGCCCACCCCCCGTCAAAATGCCATCATCTAGCACCACAAAAACCCTCCAAACGCTCACCCTCCCCGGCGCCAAGATCGCGCTAGCAGCGGCGGAAGCCAAAGCCAAAGCCATGAACCTCGACATGAACATCGCCATCGTAGACGCGTCGACACATCTACTGGCTTTTAGTAGGATGGAGAATGCAAAGATTACTAGTATAGGGATTGCTATGGATAAGGCGTTTACGGCAGCTGGGCATCGGGTGGGGACACATACTTATAAGGAGGCTGTTTGTACGTTACGTTGTTTTCTCTCTAGCTACTTTCTATTCATCCATAAGCCATTTCTAATACTTTCATTTCTACTACGTTCACTTTTATACTCACTGCTCCATGTTGCATTTTTCCATTTTGGTAAATTTTTCTCTCAGGTATATGTACTTATTTGCGTTTCTTTAGGGCCTGGAGGACCTGCATATGGCCTGGGGAATACGAATGGAGGCCGCTTTACTACGTTTGGAGGTGGGCTACCTATTTTGAATGAGAGAGGGGAGGTTGTGGGGGGTATTGGGGCGAGTACTGGAACGCCGGCGCAAGATCAGGAGGTTGTTACTGCGGGGAAGGAGGCCATTGAGAGGGTTTTGAGGGAGGAGAGTGGGAATGGGACGATAAAGGCTAAGTTGTAGCGGTAAAGCGAACGAATCAATCAACGATAGATGAGCAATGGAAATGGCAAAAGAAAGGGGGGAAAGATGAGGGTATCACGTGTGCTAGGTCTAATCACAAAGTCCAAGTAATCGACCGGCAACAGCATCCCACTCCTCATCCCATCTCCTTCTCCCCTCCCTCACGGCTCCTTCCCTCAAACTCGCCAGTTCTTTCCCCTCACTATCACTGAATAACTCTCTCAACACGTGCGCCAAGTCTGCACTCTTCACAAAGCCCCGTCCATTGACACCTTCCCTGACAAGCTCACACCAACTCTCGTAGTCCCCATATCCCACAACGGGCAAGCCAGCTCCAAACATATCTACGACTTTCATGGGGAGATCAACACCACTGCTACTCATATGCAGACAGACTCCTAGATCCGCACACGCTAGTAAAGTGGCGTAATCTTCGGTGCTGAGCCAGGCGGATAAAATTGTGACGTTTGGTAAATTACCTTCTTGTGTTAAAGAAGCTATACGGTCGAGGTACATTTGCTTTTGGGGCCCTTTGCCTGTGATGATGGCGAGTATTGGAGGGAGGGGCTCGGAGCTGGAAGAGTAGAGGCAAAGTGCTTCAAGGAGGAGATTGAAATCTTCGTCTGGGGTCCAGGATGTGCTGCTCACTAGGAGTCTTGTTTTCCCTGCCATTATATTATCTGCTTGCTTGCTCGTCTCTGATAACCTGCCTAGGAATGCCTTTCGTGCTTCGGGGTTTGAAATAGGCTGGAAGATGGCAGCTGGTCGATCGTGCAGTGTGAATATTGGAGACCGTATCTTATATGGCTGATTCTTTAATTGTTTCGCCATCGCATCTGTGACGGTAAATGATGCCGTCGGCGCGTATCTGCCCAATATAGCCTCGTAGTATTTCGAGATGGTAACAAAAGGATGATTCGCTCCTCTTGTACCAGCAAGTATTGTCCAGCCGTAGTTATGCCAGTCGATTATCAAGTGCGTATTTCGGAGGAAACATATTATGATTGCGATGAAAAGGGTGGGTATCGAGGGCGGATTCTGGACGAGAAGCCATCGTGCAGGCTTTATGCGGTAGCTGAGGGTTTGGAAGAGACTCCAAATTTGCCAAATGACTTTGAGGGGTCCTGCGAGGATGAAGGGGAGGGATTTCGAGCGCAGGATGGGTGGTGGGGGAGGTAAGGGGACGATTGTAATCAAGGGATTGTCGAGGAGACCTGGATGGGGGGTTGATTCTGTAGAGATTAGCTTGGAAGTACATGTTTATATGTGAGTTCTTACCTTGATACCCAATTACATCTACCCTGCCACCGTGTTTTGCTATACTCATAGCATGATATTGCATCCGCGGACTACGTCCAATATCTCCGAGAACCAGCACTTGGACGGAGATCTTGGGTTCATCTACTGCGGATGCTGAGGATACAACCTTTGGCGGAGAGTGGTTTACATATCGACTTGGCCACAACAAGAGCAAAATGGTCAGGGTGGTTGAAGCAAGTACTGCCAAAGTCAAGATGATTTCCAGCATGATTTAAACGTGGCTGTTTGAGAAATGCTCTAAAGCCAGGACGACGTCGTGGTTATCCGGATATAACTGCCCTGCACATATTTCCAACTGAATCCGGGGTAAGGCTGAGTGTAATCTATTGGAATGCAGATATAAAAAGGTGGGATTATTATTGACTGCACCGCTTTGAGCTTCCTGTGACGGATGTGACGATCTACGGGCTGCTTGAAGAAGGGGATAAGCTGCCGGGGCCCCCAGCAAAGGCTAAAGTAGTATCAGCCTATCAAAGCGCCCATTTCGATCCACAAGGTTCCAAATGCAGGGGAAACAAATCAACACTGGACGACCTCCACCCACTCATCCCCATACAGTAGGTACGTAGTACAGTCCTCACCCTCACCTCTTTAACGTTTGCGTCTGCTCCTGGTATTCCTCTTCCTGCGCATAAATCCTATAACGACGGCGACAGCGACCCCTCGACGACAACCGCTACTCGACTACCTACACGAACTCGCCGATCTCAACGCCCCGCCCCCCGTTGCCCTCCCCATTTACAGCAACGATCTCGACAGAGGAAACAGAATACTCTCGTACTATACTGTCGGGGGAAGCCGCAATCTGGCAGAGTACATATGAAGGACGTGGTCAATTTGGCGCGAGCTTCACAGCTCCTACAAGTGCGTTGAGGCCCAGACAATGGCTTCTTCCTACGCTCTCCCAGCGTCAGCAATAACCCACAGCCATCATGGCCACGGCCACGTTCACTCCCACTCCCACTCCCACTCTCACTCGCACACTCCACCTTCCCCCGTTCGAGGACACCCTGCGAAGACACCGAGCACGTTGAAGCAAGAGATCTCGACTGGGCATCTGCATTCTCTTTCAGAATCGCATGTCGATCAGGTACATGAGAATATACGTGCGCACAATCACAACCATTCGCATGCCCACAGTCATGAACAGGAGCATTCGCATTCTCCCAGTCTCCCGTATGGCAATTTCATGCCACCAGCAAAGTTCGAGACGCAGCCACACGACCATTCAGCCCATCAAATAGCATCATACGAACCCCCAGTAAACGATGTCCACGTTGAGCCTCACGACCATGCCCACCCTCCGCATAAACATAGTCATGCGGTAGAGCCACAATCCAAGTTTACCAGTCTTGTGCTTCCAATGGTCCTGCGGTGGCCACTTATACACACGATAATGGCAGAGAAGGATTCGAGGAGGATCTTCTACTTCATGACGTGCGTAGGTCCTGCTGGAAAGAAGAGCAAAGGCTAACATTACACAGGCTCAATTTTGCATTCATGTTGGTTCAGGCAGGCTACGGATATGTTACAGACTCATTGGGTCTACTCAGCGACAGCATACATATGTTCTTCGATTGCTTGGCGTTGGGGGTTGGGTTATTTGCAGCAGTGGCTAGCAAGTGGCCTCCGAGTGAACGATTTCCATATGGGTTTGGGAAAATAGAGAGCTTGTCTGGATTTGGGAATGGGGTGTTTTTGATGTATGTGGATCTAATATGTGTAAAACAACCTGCTAATGATGTTCTAGGTTAATAAGTGTCGAGATTATGATCGAGGCGACAGAGCGACTTGCAGATGGTCGAGAAACGAAGAGGCTGGCTGAACTATTTGTGGTCAGCGCTCTTGGATTAGCAGTCAATTTGATCGGGATGGCCTGTTTTGGACACCATGGGCATGCAGGACACGACCATGGCGGACACGATCATGGGCATGACCATGGACATTCTCATGAGAACGTAAACTCTCATGATCATCACGGTCACGACCATGACCATGACCATACCCATGAGCACGATCACGGGAACCAAACTCCCCTTTTATCCGACGCTCCCCCAAAGGCCGTTTCCCTCGCAGGCCACAGCCACGGCCACGGACACTCTCACGATAACGAGAACATGCACGGTATCTTCCTCCATGTCCTCGCCGATACCATGGGTAGCGCAGCAGTAATGGTCTCCACTGCCCTAATCTACCTCATCGGCTGGAATGGTTGGGATCCCCTCGCCTCCTGCGTCATTGCGATCCTAATCTTCATGTCCTCCATCCCACTCATCAAATCTAGCGCCAAGAAACTCCTCCTCACTGTACCCGACGACGTCGAGTACAACCTGCGCGCAACGCTCGCGGGTGTCAGCGATCTCCGCGGTGTGGCGAGTTATACCGTGCCGCGGTTCTGGATGGGTGATGAGAACGAGGCTGAACGTGTGCTCGGTGTTATGCATATTGTTGCTACCCGGGGTAGCGACATTGATGATGTAAGAGAGAGGACGAGGGACTTTCTGGTGGGCAAGGGAGTCGACGTGGTGTTGCAAGTGGAGAGGGATGGGGATCTGAGTTGCTGGTGTGGACGGAGTGGCGATAAACGTTCGCCAGCTACCCCGGGATTTTAGGGTTTTGGTTCGGGATGATATTTGAGTATACCTTTTTGGATGACAGACGAGTGTAGGATAAAAAACCACCCCCAGCGCTGTATAAGGCTGGCAGTCAGTATTTATGCGTGCATATAGATCGAGCGAGTTCAATGATACCATGTACACCAAAGCCCTTGGGCCTCTTCTTGAAGTTTAGGCTCAAGTGTCCTCCTTTTTCGCCATGATCAAGATACTGCGGGTGGTAAGGACAGTCAGTCCCTAGATAAGTAGACACGTGCTTCTTCTGTCTTTCCTTCCTCTTGATTGCAGGCCCAGCTTCCCGGAGGTTAGAGGCTAAAAAATGCAGGGGAAGCCACCGATTCGATTTCAAGTTTCCCCATATTCAGTTCCACTTCTCTCTTTCGCGATCCGCTAATAACATTTCAAGTCTATCAACGCGCCTCTTTCCATATATCGAGGCAATATTGGTTCTGGATTTTTGGTACAAGTCAAGGTGGCTTTGTCTATTCTTACGTTATGTATTAATTTAATTTAACTCATTAGCTATACAATGTAGTTCGTTCTACAGTATAGTAGTAGTTTTTTTTTTTAAAGGTAGTGATAATATGGTTAGTCCCGGGGTCGCTGAATCGTCTCGAGTTGTTTCTGGTAACCACTAATAATTTAGACCCGCCGCACGCATGATAATCTATTGTCGAGAAACATTTTTATTTGGCTTTATTCTTTTATGTTCGCCAACGACAGAATGCTAAAGTTCTGAAAGTACATTTTAGCGACTCTCCATTTGGAAGAGCAAACTCATAACAAATCGGCTTCGACAACTGAATAACAATGCAACACGAAGCAGGCAAATCATTTCTCGAAAGAAAAATGCTATATCGAGCGTCAGTAAAAGGGAAGTAGCGAAAACTTGCCATTCGGCTTCCACTTCCCCTATCTCCTAGCGCCCCGGTATGTCTGATCAATTAAAAGGATGAATATACGATTAGCTATCACCTAAATCTCGCGGCTTCAGGTCGTTTTAGAATGCTTCAGAGGTTCCAACTTATGCCATTGGGACTGTAGAGGTGAAAGTACAGTCTCCTAGTCAGACGTCGAGGTCATTGTCGTTGGCAGCTTTTCGCTTGCTAGGGTACCATCTCCGTCTCCGTCTCTCCCCTTAAACTCCGTCCAATTTATCTCTTTAACCGAACGTTCCTGTCGAAGTTGTATAGACGCACAATTAACCCCGCCATGGTAAAATGCTGTTTACTAATCAGGCAAAAAAAGCTTGATAATAGGCGTCCTGTACTGCAGGGCGCTGCAGGGCTGCTTAGGAATCAAATCTAGTGGCAATCGGCATTGGTCATTCATTGAGCTTCATTTGGATTTTCCACAAGGAACTTTTTCAGTCAACATATACTATCATAATAAACACAAGCATATCGATTTCAACATGGCAATCCCAGCAAGCAATGGCAAAACGGTCCTTGTGACAGGAATCGGTGGCTACATCGCTGGTGTACTCGGCCACCTCCTACTCACAAAGGGCTATTCTCTCCGAGGTACAACTCGGAAAGCAACAAGCGTTGAACCTCTCTTGAAAGGTGCATATGGACCGTATGCAGACCGAGTAAAGATCTTTGAAGTACTAAATATGACAGTCGACGGAGCTTTCGACGAAGCAGCAAAAGGTTTTCCCTCCTCCCATGTACGAGTATGCTTCCAGAGTCACATGTTAACAAGAGTTTTCCAGGCGTCGATGGAATCTTCCACATGGCATCACCCGTTGATTTCTCAATCACAACCTATGATGAATCCGTCACTATTGCCAAGAGAGGGAACGAGGTTCTCCTCGCGGGGGCGCTGAAAGCTGGTCCCCAGTTAACGTCTGTAGTTGTCACATCTTCCGTTGCAGCTATTTTGGATCCAAAAGAGGATCCCGAATACTCATATACCGAAGTAGATTGGGCTTTGGGTGCTTTGGCGCAGGCTGAAAAGGACAAGGAGGCGGGTGTTCCGACTCCTTCAGAACGCCTGTACGCTGCATCAAAGACTGCTGCTGACCAAACAATGTGGAAATTCCGGGAGTCTCACAAGGTAAGCAATTACCTTATTGTTTCATGTTGTGGATATCATAAGCTGATCCAAACCCAAAAAGCCACCTTTTGCCCTCACAACCAACAACCCTTCCCTAGTCATCGGGCCGCCAGCAAATCTTGTGTCCCACCCCTCCAAGCTTAATGAGTCAGTAGTACTACTATTCAGTATTTTGTCCGGTACAGCAAAAAGCATCCCACCAAAGAACGGATCGGGTTCCTTTGTCGATGTCAGAGATGTTGCATACGAACATCTTTGGGCCTATGAGAACTCTTCGAAAGCTGACGGACAGCGATATATTGCCTGCGAGGGGTTTGGACCCTCGCAAGCTATTGCGGATATTCTAAGATATGCATATAAGGGCACGGCTATTGCGGAGAAGATTTTTGTTGGTGTTCCTGGGGAAGGGTATTTGGGTTTTGATAAGGAGACTGGTGATGTAGGTGACGTGAAGTATTTACCTGGGACAGTGAGAGTTAATGGATCGAAAGCGGAGAGGGAAATGGGGTTCAAGTATATTACATTTAAGCAGAGTGTTTTGGATACGGTAAAGGTGTTCGAATCTCTATTATGAGATGGGGAAGTTGTGGTAAGGGTTCTGTTAAGCAAATAGATAGGATAATAACTTTCTATCATAGTAGTCGAGGTTCTTGAAGTAATAGCAAGCACAAAAGAATAGTTTTGAATCGACCTTGGCAATAGCTTTATAGGCAAATCAATAGGAATATATTTCAAACAGACAGTCACTCATATCACTCAACATCTTTCTGTTTAATACTCCATAACCTTAAAACAAAATAAAAGTGCACGAGGAACTATCCCCTTCAGCAATATCGAAACTGCACATATGCCAAGAACCCCGGGCCCCGTAGAACCTCACCTCCCCTCCACCTCCTTCAACATCAACGACATCTACAACGCCAATTGCTCCAGGCGTCCATCGCCAACATGGTCCTCTCCTTTATCCTAATCCAAAACCGGCAGTACGTATTTCTTCCCTCATCTCAAAAAGCCATCGAATCCCCACCAGCCGGCGCAAGCTAGATAGCTGACAATAACCTCTCGCTCTAGAGGCAAGACGCGACTCGCGAAATGGTACGCACCGTATAACGACGAAGAGAAGATAAAGCTCAAAGGCGAGGTACATTGCCCCAATTCCCCATTCCCCCTTCACACCACCACACCAGCTGACTCGCCTCCTGCTCATAGGTGCACCGACTCGTCGCGCCGCGCGACCAGAAATACCAATCTAACTTCGTCGAGTTCCGGCAGAACAAGATCGTGTACCGGCGGTACGCGGGGCTCTTCTTCTGCGCGTGCGTCGACGCCAACGATAACGAGCTGGCGTTTCTGGAGGCTATACATTTCTTCGTCGAGGTGCTGGATAGCTTTTTCGGGAATGTGTGTGAGCTGGATTTGGTGTTTAATTTTTACAAGGTGCGTTTAGTGTGTGATACGGTATCTTCTTTGAGGGGATGTTGGTTTTGTTTTGGGGGGTGGATTGAAGGGGGTGGGTGAAGATAAAATTGGGGGGTGGGAAGAAGATGTGGTGGAGAGAGATGGTGGTATGGAAGGGGGTTTGAGAGGATCCATGATGGCTAATTGAAGCATAGGTTTACGCGATTCTAGATGAAGTGTTCCTAGCAGGCGAGATTGAAGAGACGAGTAAACAAGTTGTGTTGACGCGGTTGGAGCACCTGGATAAACTGGAATAGGGCATGCGCGGGCAAGGAAAGATGGCATTACATACATTACAGCATTAGGCGGCGCACAGGTGTTTATTTGAAGGCAGTCAGTCATACGGTATCATATCATGATTGCCATACAGCAGCGAAAGAAATGAAGTGATGATTTAGTTCCATTACTTTGCTAGCTAGCTGACTTGTGCAAGGTAAGCTGTATTATACACTTTTGCTCACTTCTATTAATTGCGCGCTTCATGTTCCTCATATAGCAAAGCAATATGTTTCCTGCAATTCATGTAGTCATCAACTATTGGGCGTCTCATTTGCAGACACATCCTTTTTGAAGCGACATTAGCGTTTTGGCCTCCTTGGCCATATTCAGCATAGTGTCAGTCTACTTCCATTTCAGATCCCCGGCGGGTTCCCTCGAGCTTAGCCTGACCGATATTCGAGATTGCAACATACTCGGGTACAGGCAAGTCCAAAGTCTCTGAGAATTCATCCGAATCTTCAATTTTCTCTCTGAAAGCCCTCTCCCTTGCTTGCTGCTCAAGGTCGATCTTCAAGATCTCCGCGACATCGACAGGAAGAGGCGTCGACAGATGAAAAGTCCGACCAAATTCTTTCAATCCCTCGACAATTTTCTTCTGTGTCACCTTGCGGCAGCAATCTACTCTTTCCTTCTGGTCCCTCCCAAACTTCACAAAAGCCTTCTCCTTGGGCTGTGGTGTCCGTACACGTTCCACAGACTCTAGAATACTGTGATGTTTGCTGCCATTCACCTCACCGCTATCCATCTTACTGATGCTCCGACTCGTGATAGTAGCGATATCAGCCGGCATCGTCGTGGCGAGCTTAAACGTGTGCGAGAACTCCCTGAGTTCTTCCGCCTGGTTTCCTTCGGCGATTGCTTTCCTCACGGTGTGACGAAATTCGTCTGTGGTTCGGGTGAGCGTAGCAGAAGCGTATCTTCTCTTACTAAGGCCCTGAAATGTGCGGCGGTCAAAGATGTCTTTCGCGATTCTAGAACTCGCGCTAGATTTTTGCTCTGGACTGTTGAAGGTCTCTGTCGAGGTATTGGGCGTGGAACTAAATGTACCTTGTAAAGGTGTGTTCCTGAATTGCTCCTCGGGCGACGAAATGTTGGGTGTTGTACCACGCGTCGTGGGCGATTGTGTAGGTGTTTCTGAGTTCAGAAATTCCTGGATATCGTCTTGGAAACTTTCAAAGTCGGTGCTGAATCTGAGCGCAGATGTTATTGCAGGAACTAATCGGGGACTGGGTGGATTTTCAGCCAAGACTGTATTAGGACGCTCCTGGGCTGGAAATATAAATGACTCTGACCCAGATCCATTGAAAATTGGCTGGGACTTAATATTTGGGAAGCTTTGGGCAACGTTTGCTGTAATGGTTTGGACTTTCCCGAGCGCCCCTTTTCCTAGATCGCTAAGCTTGTATCTTCGGCATAGTACTCCGTCATGTGCCACAGTTTTCTCGTCGAAAGCCCCATCTAGCTGTGGAAATTCGGGCGACTCAAAATAGTCAGATGCTGGCGACGGACTTCGGGAGGCAGGATAGTAGGATTTTTTGGGGGCTGTTCCTAAGTATTTGGCTTCGATCGGCGTACGGCTCGGAGACAGGGCCCTGGAGGAAGCTTGGGTTAGTCGCACGGTTCGTTTTTTGGTGTAAAACTAAAGCAACTTACTTTGCTTGCTCGAATTTTTGCTGCTGGTCCTGCTTCGCCATTTCAATTGCTGTCGGACGATTCTTGAATTCGTTGACGATTTCCTTCATTTCAGGGTGCTTTGCAATCAACTCCTCGACGAACTTGGAGTATTGCTTCGTAGGCTTGACGACTGTATGAATCTCATTTGTGTCGCTTTCCAGATCACTATCATAAATTATGGGAGTTAATCGACCGAGCTCGACGGTAGTTTTGGGGTTCTTCGATTTTGATGGAGTATATTCCATGTTCTCCCCGGCTGAATACTCGTCATCGGTCGTTAGACTCTCATACCGGATTCCGCGGTGATTCGCGTAGTTGCCATTATTGAAAGTCTCTCTTTTGACTGACCAGTTCGCTGCTTCGGTATCAAACATGGATGTACCTGCTTCCTTTTTCCCGCTAGTTCTCTGCAGCTTCCTTGGTCCTCGCTGGCGAGTAGAGGTACTTCCAGTGCTAGACATAGATAAGGTCCTTTCTCTCTTCATGTTTGCATTGGCTTCTCTTGACCCCTGGATTGGAATCAATCCCATCTCATCAACAGCCGTCTTCTCTTCGCTAAAAAGCCTTGCCCTCTCCAGGTCAACATCCTCCAACCTACGACGCGCGCCCGACATTCTCTCCGGCGTAGTAGCATTCGAATACTGGGAGCCATCGCCGCGTTCTCGTCTGGATTCCCTCATTCTATCGAACCCCTGGTTGTTATAATCACTAGAACGGTCGTTTCTGGGTGTTCGGATGCCGTGAGCTTTCCGTTTCTTGTAGATGCAGTTTGGGTCGGTATTCATGGGACACAGAGATCGGTAGTGGTCGCCTCTGACTTGGCAGCATGTGCAGATATATAAGTCGGAGGGTGGTTTGTCATAGGATGGGTCCATGTTTGTGGGGCAGACTTGGAGGTGATGTCCTGGTTGTAATTAGCACACATAAGGTAGATAATTATCCCGCCCCGACAAGAATTTGGAAGAGATCCAATGGAAGGAACCGGTGAGCTTAGCATGGAGAAGGTGCGAACTTCCTCCTAAGGATCTTGGCATACCTTTCTCTCCACATCGATTGCAGGTGTAACTTTTAGGTGGAGTCTCTTGATACGGATTTCTCGAAACGTCCCTCAACAACCACCGCGCCTCTTTCGCCTCTTTCGCCTCCTTCGAAAGCCGATAACTGTTCTCTTTCCTAATTGACTCCTCCCGTCTCTCATCCCATGGCCTCTCCCGTGCTCGTTCTCGCTCAAGGTACTTTCGCTCGCTTACGGGAACAAGTGGTTCATTTCCATCCCCAAAAACGTTCATGATATCCTTCGACGTGGGCGGATACCGATTCTCCATAGACCGGAACGGACCGTTCTCCTCTTGCCAGGCATTAACCTCTAAGATTAGCTCGTTTTCGCGGAAGCCACGTGAGCGCAGTGACTGACCCCAGTGCATCAGCGTATTTGACCAGTGTTCCGACAGCTTTGATGGTTCCTGGCGGTGGATCTCAAGCCATCTGAGGTACACGGCCATCGTATTACGTGACGACGTCGTCAAGCTGATGTTCTTCGCGAGATGCCTCAACGGCATTTTGAGGAGTTCTCTGTCGGTGAGGGACGAAGGATCCAAGATGGTCTCCCCGAGAGCTGAGCTAGCTGTAGACGACATCCTGGAGGCACCTGTGTTGAATGTTTCTCTGTTTCTAAGAGGAGCAAACGGGAGTCCGTGGAGAGACGGGGTTGAGGTTGAAAGTGATGGAGAAGGCATCTTGGGGTTAAGCGAGTTGAAGCTTCCTTCCTGCTTTGTCTTACTTCCAAAAGCAGCCTCCCGTGGTGAATGTGGCTCTGTAGATAATATTTTCTTTTCCTTACTCGATTTGTGCACACTGAAATGGCTTCTAAGCTCCTTCAAGCAGGCATCATTCTTCATGAAGACTCATGATCTTCAGACTGCTGCCTTGTCTTTTAGAAGTCAGGAGTTCGCTGTTTGAGGTCCAAAAGGTTGTCAGCAGTGGCAGAGAATAAGTCCAAACATTCCAATTACCTAGATACCTATAGGTACGTCTATCTACAGTAATTATGAGGTTGATAATTCCGTGGAGGCTCAGCTGGTTTCAATCTCTGCAAGTATCCGCTGAGCAACGATGTTTAACTCGCTAAGCCATTTCCCTGCATTTCACGGATGTAAAGCTAACGTACTGTACCTACCCAGTAGGCGCTTTATAAATGCAAACACATCTATTTTACTGAAACAGTAGAGATGGATGAATTGTAAAAGTATATTTATGTATTCTGGGTGCCGAGCTTTGGTTTACGTTACTAGTAGGATGTCAAAACCAAGTGACAATTATATGATCTATCTGAGACATTATCGACGGTGCTACTTGAACGCGTAAATCTCATTCGTTGTTGGCAATAGAGCGTTGCTAAAGAGAGTGACCCCGACTCTTCGAGCATATGTTTAAAAGATATAGTCGCTCCGGATCTACCGTTATGGCACACCCGCAAACCACTTATTCGCCAACAACTCCCCCGCAGTTGGACGATCCCTCGGATCGAATTTCATAGTCTTAAGAATGAACTCCTTGTCCTCCTCGGTGAAGCACTTGTCTTTAGCCAACACAAATGGCCTCAACCTATCATTCTCGTCAATAAACTGGACAGCATTACCCAGTGCACTCCGCCTAGGTTCGTCGTCCTCCGCAATAAGGGTTTCATAAGACGCAGGCAGCGGTCCAAAAGTAGCAAGCTGGCAAATCAGAGCGTGAGTCAAATACACATCTCTGCGAAATTTGCATCCTTAGAAGACCCCATATGAGACTGATGAGTTGTGGGGAGAGTAAGAACTGGTTCAGATAGTTGGAGTAAAGAGTTGATACGCACAGTAGTTCCAAATGACCATATATTAGTAGAGGATCCCCAGCGGAGGTTAAGCATAGCTTCGGGGCTCCTGAAATTGGCAGCTCCTATATGTTATCCAGATACCCCAATTTTGAGATATTCCGCGGGATTGATCCGACAAACATCTCCGAAGTTCGCTAGCTCTATATCTGCAAAACGGAGAAGCCTTTGCCATGGTTGGCGAGTATGTTATCTGGTTCAATATCTATCGAGGATGGGAATTTTGTGGTATTAAGAAGATCGCGGGGTAGACCTTACCGGTATGTGTATACCCCTCTTCATGCAACGCATGCAGCTTGGAGTATTTCTTTTGCGACGAGTTTCACATCTATGTAGATGCGGATAGCAAGTTAATATCAAGACGCTTTAGGACCATTGCAGGGGGGCCTTTTGTTTCGTCTAACATCTGACGGATGTACGGTCGACCTTGGAAATGTTTAAGAATATTTCGCTCATTTTCAAAACTTTCCGCTGGCGCTGTTTTGATAACGACTTTTCCAGCTTGCGAACTTTTATGTCTGGAGGTGATTAGCTATTTACCAGTTTAGGAAATGAACTGATGGTGTGGTCGAAATATAGACGTCGACGTATATGAACTCACGTAGCAGTCCAGACGTTCTTGGCGACCTGCGCCGAAACAAGGTAGCTTCCAAGTGCCCAAGCTTGATACCAGTTGCCATTAAGAATGAGTTATGTTTCACGATGTATGCAAACAAGAAGTAAATGTTGATAGGAATGAATCAATGTGTGCAAAGAAGGTAGAGTCAAATTTGATAGTACGTACATCTATACCCCTGAACCTTAGCGAATTCCATGGGGTTTAGAAACTGCGGGTCTATTTATAATTTTTTTGAAATGAAAAAAAAAAAGAGCTACTCTTGTAAGCGATCATTAATTAATTAGCGACAAGATAGATAAACTACTATCACCTAATAGATCGCCTAATAGATCACCTAAGATAAAAAATGGGGCAAAAAAAGAGGAATATTTCAAAAAAGAATTGCACATAAATCATGATACCTGAAGTGTTTCATTCAGGTTCATATAGGAATCGAACCAATATCTCCGGAATCAGAATCCGACGTGCTGACCATTACACCAATGAACCATTGTCTACATGCGATGATCGCAAGTAGCTGCTTGTGAAAACAGATGGTATTGTGAGCGAAGACGCCCATTGAGTTAAGATTTTGTTTAGATTTTTGCTTATTTTGTTACATACGATTACTAAGTCGTACACTAAACGAGTTAAAACGCCGACGAAATCCCGCTTCCCTCGCCTCGGCTAATACATTTCCTTTCCTTCTTTCTTATAAAGTCCAACATATAAATATATAGTATTCGTATACGCGGAAATCCATCTGTTAATCAGACCGGTATATAGCCTAGGGTGGCGCCTTTCTTGAGGGGCTGCCAAAGCCCCTTTAGTAGGGCTGTATGCTGGAATTGGGAGGATTTTGCTTCGGTTTGAGAGAATCCCTAGGACCTAAGGGTGCCCGCATAGGTGGAGAAGGAGGCCCTGGGCGTCAGCTGGCTTACTGGACTATCTGCATTATGATCAAATATCCCTCTATATTGGTATCTTCCCTAGTAAAACAATCATAAACAACCCTATGCTGGATTCAAATCTCTTAGATTTTGAAATAGGTAACATCTTTCTAGGAACTTATCTAGATAATCCCATAGAACTCATACGATCCAGTCAAGCATATCCATTGAATTGTCCATTCTATATCCCATTTTGGATTCCAGCCGCCGAACTCCATCGCTAAATCAAATGACAAAAAGACATCTCATCCCTTCATTTCTTCGACGTCCCAAACCCAACAATCCCCATACTAGCCATCATATCATCCTCATCATGCTCTCCTTCCACCCTAACATCATCCCCATACTCCTTCTTAACCAGAACCTCCTCCTCCTTAATCACTCTCTTCTTCTCCGCCGCCTCCCTCCTCTTCACCCTCCTCTCCTCCCTCTCCTTCTCCTCAACCGCCTTGCTAATCTCCAACCTCTCCCCCAAACTCTTAACATTCTCCATCTTCTCATCCATCAACCTCTCCCACACCATCCGGATCCTCTCATGCACCTCCTCAGCACTCGCCTTCTTAACCTCCCCACTCTCCCCAATAGCCAGCAAATGCTGCTTGCTATTAACATGTTCTACCCACTGCAGATTATCCTTAAACGTCAAATCACAATCCTTGCAATAGAACCCCGCGCCCCGTCCCCTCTTGCCCGTCGCCGCCCCCGCGGGCATGAGCACGATCTTGCCGACATTGGCAGAGACATCTAGACGCGAGTTGCGGGCCTCGGTCAGCACTTCATTTCCCGAAGCGGGCTTGTAGTATTTTTTGCCTGCGAGCTTGGCTTCGTAGCGGGCTTTGGATTCTTCTTTCTCGAGGGCTTCGCGCGCGGCGGCTTTTTGCGCGTATTCGGCTCTGTCGAACTTTTTGCGGAAGTCGGTATCGGAGGCTGTGGTATCGTAGGCGCCTTTTTTGTCTGTCATTGTTGCGGTTGCTACTTTGTGCTTGTGGAGGGAGATGTGGATGGGAGGAAGCTTGAAATATTTGGAGCTATGTACAGAGCAAGGCGGTGTGGTGGCAGAAAATGGAGGGGTATGAAATTTATTCCTCCAATTCGTCTTACACCATCTTTACATCACAACAAGCCAAAATGCTATACTTGGTTGGCCTCGGCCTCTCTGATGAGACGGATATCACAGTCAAGGGACTTGCCATCGTCAAGAAAGCATCCCGCGTCTACCTCGAAGCATATACATCCATCCTCCTAGTCGACAAGAGTATTCTGGTATGCGCCTTACTTTGGAGACTGTTCTAGAACTGACACTGATGGACAGTAGGAGCAATACTATGGCCGGGAAGTAATCATCGCCGATCGCGAGATGGTAGAAAGTGCCAGCGACGACATTCTCCACGATGCGCAAAACGTCGATGTAGCGTTCTTAGTCGTCGGAGACCCCTTTGGGTATTTCCATCCCCCTCCCAATGTCCCTTCTCCCACTAACAAGTATAAACAGGGCAACAACACACACCGATCTCGTCCTCCGCGCGCGCTCCCTCAACATCCCCATAGCCACCATCCCGAACGCATCAATCATGTCCGCCATCGGCGCAACGGGGCTCCAGCTCTACAACTTCGGGCAGACGGTATCGATGGTGTTCTTTACGGATTCCTGGAAACCGGCGTCGTTCTACGATCGGATTCGGGAGAATCGCACGATTGGGCTGCATACGCTTGTTCTGCTGGATATCAAGGTCAAGGAACAGAGCTTGGAGAATATGGCGAGGGGGAGGAAGGTTTATGAGGAGCCGAGGTATATGACTGTTGGCCAGTGTGCGGCGCAGATGCTGGAGATTGAGGAGGTGAAGCGGGAAGAGGGACAAGACCAGGCGGGCGTGTATACGGAGGAGAGTTTGGCGGTGGGCGTTGCCAGGGTTGGGGGAGACACGGAGAAGTTTGTTAGTGGGACATTGAAACAGCTTTGTGATGCCGATGAGGAGCTGGGTGGGCCATTGCATAGTTTGGTGTTGTTAGGGAGGAGAACACATGAATTGGAGAGTGATTATGTGAGGGAGTTTGCGGTGGACAAGGAGAATTGGGATAGGATTTGGAAGAGGGATTATGCGGGGCAGCAATGAAACGACTGGAGTAATGATATTAGATCTTGGGTATTTCTATCTGATTGTAGTCCGTTCTATGTTTTATTTTCCAGCCCTTCTGAACACCTTGCTAAATCGTCACCTTAAGTTAATGGTAGCTTTGTACTTGTACAATATCTTCTCACTCCTCGGGAATGGTTTTTCTCCTGCCAAAGAATCCCTTTGATTTTGCACCCCTCGGCGGGGATCGTATATGATGCTCCTCCCTATTCACACTGGCCCCAATACGCTCATCCGGAGGAGCTCTCTCCTCATCCCCAACAACCACGACAAACCAGCCAATATCCGCATCTTTCTGCAACCCATCCCTCAATTTCTCAATCCATCCCAACCGCCTACTCTTGCGTCTAAATTCCCTTGGGCTCATTTCACCTCCTAGCGTTCCCGAAGTAGCAGAACTCAGCTCTTCCTCTTCACCCTTCACCCTTGCCTCGTACTTGGCCATTTCCTCCGTCAACGACACGCCTAGCGGGACCTCCATCATATAATCCCCCACATACGCGTGCGGCTGGCTCACCGCATACATATCATCCGGATCATACTGCTCCAGCAGCTTCACCGCACTCCAATCATTGAAAGAAGGCTGTTTCTTCTTCTCCCCTATCCGTGGCATCTGCATCGTACTCGCGCTCGCACTGCCTACCGAAGACCCCACACTCCTCCCCAGCGATTGCGCCCCATTGCCATTACCATTCCCGTTGCCATTCACCAACCCATTCCTAGCCCCCTCCGTCTCAGGCCTCTTCAAACTCGCCCTTCTCGCACCACTACCGTTCCCGTTCTGCGAGAGCGAGATGAGCGAAGACAGGGACCGCGAGCTGGAATTCCGCTTCGTGAGCGTCCGCCTCCCACTCGCCGGGACCTGTGTCTGTGTATGCAGCTGCGGCTGCGGCGGCGGCTCCGGGCGCGCGTAAGATGGAGCGGGGGGGTTGCTGGGTGGCAGGAAGTCGTAGAGCGAGTAGAAGGAGTTGAGGAAGGTAGCGGAGGTCGCGGGGGCATGATCCATTCTGCGGCTGCGTCGTCGAGGTTGTTGATTATGATGTGGATGCGGATCATGGAGCGCTGCCAGCGGAAGCCGTGGACTAGGTATGTTGGCATATTGGGGGCGTTGTTTGTGTTTGTAGAAGCTGGAGCTGGAACTGGAGCTGGATTGTCGACTCGGGACGCAGGTGGGGGGGAGTGGATGGCAGTGAGATGCGTATGGGGTATGGCGCATGAGGTGAGATGTGTCAATCGTGAAGAGATCTAGAGCTGTGCCGCGGTGCATGCACGCAGGCTGCTGTGGTGATACAGTGCGAGTACAGATCTCTAGAAGCTTGCAGCCGGTGTTCGTACAAGTCACAAGTGAGGCTTGAGATCAGCCTTCTACCCAAGGTAAGGGTGTTGTTCCTCGGCTCCAGCGCCAATCAATTGAGCTACCTTACTCCGTATAGCTGAAGGTTCTGATGCGGTAAGTATATCATCCGGTCACAGTATATCCAATCATCTCCAATTGCTTCTCGTTGGGAGTCCTTACTCCTTTCTCGGTAGAAGCTGAAGAAAGGAGAGAATACCTCGTAAACTTTTTCTCTCTACGAAGTACCCCTAGCCTGGTACCCTTGACCGAGATGCGGTGAGGTTGTCGATCACTGGAAATTACTGCGGGGGGCACCCCAGCCCAGCTAGCAAGACCCCTGTAGGCATCGTATCTCAACAGCTTCGAGCTGTTATCGGACAAGTGCCCGCTGTCAGGCCGTCGGTGGGCCATTTCAACATCAACATCAACAGCCGCGTTAGACATCACTCGTGAAGGCGAATTACAACAAGTAGTTTTGAAAAGAATACCTTAGTTTACTTAATCCAAGAGCAGAAGTATCATTACTACATCAATCAAGAGAAATCTTCATAAAATACTCTCTCTCTCTCTCTCTCTCTCTCTCTCTCTCCCGCCCCTAGAACACGACTTCAAAGCTCAGATACCTATACCCCGCAATATAAATGTCCAGCAAGAATCACACAACAGAAATCCAGATATAAACCTGATATCACCTCACCTTACCTTACCTTACCTTACCTATATCCCTAATCAAAAATCCCAGCAAAGATTCCTACTACAGGAAGCTTGGAACGCAATAAGTGCATCCATCGATAGATACTCGTATATATCGCCTACCTACCTACCTACCTACCTACCAACCTACCCACGCATTCCATAACCTCACCTTCGGTAGCCTAGAATTCTAAACTTATATAAAGTACCCCTTACCTTACCTTTCCTAAGCTAGTAAGAGTATATGTAAACCTCAAGCGTAAGCAATGCTTACGCAATCTATGTATTTCTCCTTCTTAGATGATAGGTATTCTTTATATCATATGAGCATATACTGTATGCCTTACTAGGAAATAAGATGCGATGCCCCTGATATCCTGCGCTGAACGCTACTTAGGAGATCAGATCAGTATAGTATTGAGAATTCAGATAACTGCGTGCTAGTAAGTGGCATGATAAGCGTCGTTACGGGATTCTATGCTAGTAGACTACTAATTCGAATTCAAAACAACTTGTAGTTAATTTAATTAATTTCATTCATTTCATTTCATCAAGACATCTAGCTATATAAGTACCCTATTCTATCTATCTACCTATCTATCTATCCATCAATAATCCATCCAACACCCCCTCCCCCCCTTTCATTTCCATTTCCACTCTCCTTCAACTGATAGTCTGGCACTGCACCTCCCCTCACAAAACCAAAAGAGCAAATCCCAAAAATGCAACCCCGGCCCCAAAGCCAAACCGCCGATTCCTTCTCCCCTCAGCCGTTAGCACCGAGTTCGCTCCTCCACCTCCACCCATAATAGTCTGCCCACCGGCGCCCGTAGGCTTAATAGGCCCCGCAATCTCCGTACTAGTACGCACTACATGTTCCGTAGCCGTAGCCGTAGCCGTTGGTGGCGGTGGTGGTGAAATTGGGATTTGCACAGGGAGGACGGGTTGCGTGCTATAGAGCACTGCCGCAGCTACTTGGGTGGTGTGTGCTGGGGTAATGGAGATATTGGTTGTAGTTGTAGTTGTGGTGGTGGGGACAGAGAGAAGAAGAGAGGTGCTGGTATTGCTCCACACGCCCACACCCACGCTCGAAAAACCCGACAGGCTCGTGGAGACCGCAATGCATGGTAGTGTGAGGATGAACGTTAAGCTTTCGCCTGCTATGCCGCAACTAACGCACGTTTTCGTGGTTGTGAGCATGGGGATTTGGGGTGCTGGAGCTGTTGCGGGTGTCGGTATAGAGTCCGAGGGGGTGGAGGGGCAGATGGTCAGGGTTGAGGTAATGGTGTAGGTGGCTAGGGTGTTGGCAGCGCAGGTGCAGAGGTCGATGTATGTTGCTGGATGAGAGGCTCTCATGTCAGTTGATTGCTTGCTTGCATGCTTGACTAGGTAGGTAGGCACCGAGAAGGAATTTGGGAGGGGGGGAAGAGGAAGGACACTTACTGGTGAGAATGGTGATGTAGAATTCTGATTCTGATTGTGGGGATGAGGGTGGGAGAGAGGGGTTACCGGCCATTCCTACGCCGAGGATTGAGGATGCTGGAGGGACGCTTGATAAGGGGGGTAGGTCTGCAGATATGGAGGGCGCCGGAGAGGGTGATGGGGTTATGCTCCCCGTCTCTACCACACTCTCACTCGAACTCCCCTCCAGCCCACCTACAGGCTCAGCCACATAAACACTCCACGCCCAATCAGCCGTGTCATTGCTCAACCTCTTCCTTAGACTATTCACCACCCTGACACCTCCGCAAACCTCGAGTGGGTCTCCAGGACAAGGGAGATGGCAACTTCCCACAGTCGTATCCCCCAGATCGTCGGCACAGCCACAGCTAGTCCCGTGCACACCGGCGTAGGTTTTCGAGGCGCAGGCTGTTAGGCAGGTGGTGATGGTCATGTTGGGGCTAGTCAGGAAGTTGGTAAAGGTTGAGAGTGTGGTGGAGAGGCAGGAGAGGTAGATGAAGTGTGATTGGGGGGTTTGGGAAGGAGAGGGGTTGCTGGATATTGGGGTGGCTTGAGATGGAGATAGAGATGGTGAGGCTTCCGTCGAACTATCAGGGTTCGTCGAAGTCGAGGAAACCGCCGGCCCGACCGTATAGACATTTACGGAATTGATAATCCAATATCTAAGGATACTTAGCACGTAACCCCAAAACATTATACGTGTAAAGTACTTACGCATCGATAAACGCAGATGGATTGGAAGCAACATAGCCGACACACGTCGGCGCCAAACTACTACAAACAGGATCCGAAGTCCAAACATTGGCAGCCCAGTCTCCACAAAAAGTAGTATCAAAAACGAGGTTATGATTCGCAAAATGGGTGTCGATATCGCAGCTGCCTCGAAAGTTTGCTTGGGGAGTTCCCCAAGTCTGAGGATCAGGGACGCCATTTGTTATATCCTGAGGGATGCTTGATCGTGGGAAGAACCATATCTTGATATACTGAGATGTCCATTCGGTGGCATATACGCCTCCAGAGATGGCGTTGAATGGGCCACCGTAAGAGGAATCCGTGGAGGCTGTGCTGCTGCATCCGGTATTGTCGTTCAAGTTGCCGTCGCAATTGTTGGATTGCAGTGTCCCAGTTTGTCCGCTGCCGGCGATTGTACAATCAGGAGAGCTGCGTCAGAAGTTAGTATCAGACATATAGATACTGCAAAGGTGACTGACGTGTGAAGAGACATGAGATTATCATCATTGCTATTAACTCCCTCGATAATATCGATCTCTCCAGACTGAGGCCAGTTCGGGCCAAATGACCAGACTATAAGGAAGTCAGCGAATTATTTTGATAGAAGGCTAGGTTTAACCAGTATTGGAAAACTCACATGCAGGCCAAGTGCCACAAATTCCTCCGGGCATGTGCGCAATGTCCGCAATGAATAATCCATGTGTCCATGACTGTTTTGAGCTGATCCTCACACTATTTCGTCCAGGCGCTGAAGTGCTGAGAGTTGTTGAGTAGTCAACGCCTATGTACATGGCACCGTTTGGGCCGGGGCCCGCGAGGCCCAAGTTAGCAGCTTCCACGGCACTAACATAGCTAGATCTTGTTAGTTTCTGGGGGATAGTCCATGAAGTCGAACTTACTTGACGAATCCGTTTGTTGGATCAGGTCCCTTGAGTTATGGTTAACTTTTTGTCGGAGGGATAGGAGATGCAGATAGTAGAAGTGACGAGGTTTCCTAATGTGCTTACTGTGAAGAAATTGAAATTGTCAAAGAACGATGACCCTGCCAAGTTGGTATCCAAGTTGTATGTGCTAGCTGCCCCTGCGCTGGAGCCAAATATCAACAATATTAGGACATCATGCCAGAATTTTGAAGAACTTGGAATCATCAAAGTCATTATGATTGTAGAGATAATACCATAATGAGTGAATAAAGTGAAGTGCGGGGCTCAAGATAAACAAAATCTACATGAACTTCAGGTTGATAAGGCGACTTGGGGAATGTAGTATGCCTAATCGAAAGGAATGCGTGCACCACCTGGAACAATGCCTATTGAAGTATAGAAGCATTTCTCGAATTTTGATTCGTTGGAATGGAAAAGCCAGCACAATGGGATTGTATTGACGATCTCGACTTGAGCGTGACTTCGTCAGGCTACCCATGGCATGCTTGCCTCTTTTTTCCCCATTCAGGGGGAAGGTGAGATCCTGATTGACATCGATTTTGGTCACTCACCCTACTAGAGAAGTTCTTTCCAACTTTCCCAACCTGAGCTCCCCCTCCAACCCCAGACGACCGCGTAATGTCGAGCCAGCATTTGCCACTCTTCAACTTCATCCAACCCCTCCAGGCTATCAACTCTCTCTTTCTCCTCAGATGATACCCACTGGTCCCAAATCCGTTCTATAGTTTCTCCTCCTTGACCCCCATCTGAATCTGTAAAGCCCATCTCAGACAACCTATCTTTCTGATCCCGTAGATTTTTATAAACCTTCACCGTAGGCATAGTAATATTCCTAGCCGCAAGATTCGCAACCATCATCTGCCCAAACGGGCTATCAACTCCAATCGGCTCGTACAATATAATACCTAGAGAAGGTATCCGATTTGCGAACCACTTGACAACATCTCGCGCATTATCGACCTCCAGATAGCATAAACAGCATTCAGATATGAGGAGTGTTGGAATATCGCTTTGAATGCCATGGAAGGAATTCAATTCTTTCATTGACGGCGAGTAAGGGAGCCGCCGGAGATCGAGGGGGTGGCAACAATATATTGTTTCGGATTCTCCATCCCTGGCTCGAAAGCCCCATTCGGGTTCTGGATCGGAGTCTGGTTCAGTAGGCTTCGTCGGCTCTACGAACATAGTCGCATTCCCGTCTCCCTTTGATAATGCTTCATTGCTCGAGACGATGCGCGATTTAGTAGTGCAGACGGTGGGGAAGTCGAATTCGTGGTATATTAGGTTGCGATGCTTGTTTTGGGCGCGTAGGCGGAAATATCGTGTATCGGTGCCTGCGCCTAGAGATATTATTTGCCTTTTCTGCGGCGGGGTATCATTCGATTCGGAAAGGAAGGCATTGATGAGAATGTCGAGAGCCGTGGTTCTGGTATATGTTCCTGCGCAGATGTTAGTGAAGCATGTTGAGAGTCTGGCTGTAGAACATGGTACCTCGGTTGATGATGGGCAATCGCCGTGTCCCGGCACCATTTACAAAGTAGGCCGCATAGGGGTCATTGATATATCCCAGGGAAACGGCGCTGAGACGTGACACTGCAGCATCTGTATCTGTGGACTGGATATCGAGATCTTTGCGGTTTTGGGTAGTATGAGTAGAGCCGCCTCCTCGACCTCGGCCTCGACCACCCCGTGACCGTGGGCCTCCTCGTGAGGCTAGGAGGTTTGGAATCTGTGGTGCAGACATTTGGTTCGATAGGAAATTGAAGTGAGGGGCGGACGATGAATAGCTTCTCTGACGCAATTAATTGGGTTGGCGAATCAACACGGCAGCACGTGAACACATATTTCACAGAGGTAAATATTTTGACACACCAATCACAGCATATATATATACAAGACTTAACACACAGCGGTTGCCTTGCATTGGATGGAATATACACGGTAAATGTTGTAAATTAGGTTTGTGGCTTTCTCTCCAGATATGTTTTTACAGAAAGAAGCGTTCTTTTCTTCCCTGCAATGCTTATTTCATTCCTGTACCGCTTTCTTATCACAATCACTCTATCGATAGGGGTTGTTGGGGTTCCTATCAGTACAGTATGGGGAAAGCAAGCCACTGTGCCACAAGTCGAACTAGATTCTATTGTTTACAAGAATAAAAGAAGGGATTGCAGAGCGCCTACTCGACTCCTATTTCTAAAAGTCGCGTCCACTCGACGGTAATTGTCGCCACCGCTTCCCTTTCCCATCTCATCACTGGACTGGTCTGGTACTGGATCATGAGAAATCACGATGCGCCAAAGGAATCACAAATTCCATGGGCTTGGTTGGCTTTCACCGGTGATTTAATCTAACATCCCCCCATCCTCCTCTTCCTAAACAAGACAAGCGTCAGGTACAGGATAAACTACGCTTAATTATAACCTTGATTTAATCCCAATCTAGTCGCTGTCTAGTCCTAATCCAGCTCTACTTCTCCTCCGAGCCGCAGCCAAGCATGAACCAAGGCTGTATGCAGTAAGGTGGGTCGACTGGCTCCTCGAGGATGATTGGGCGCCTCTGTGGGCTTGCCGTGATTGGCGCAGAACCAGGCTTGAAATTATCCAATTTCCCCAGACCAGAGGCCGGCATGGACCCCTCCCCTCCCTCTTCCAGCCTCTAAATCTTCTTCTCCTCCCAAAGTAAACTCTCTCGCGCCTCCTACTCATACTTCACTGTCCCTTCCGTTGCCTTTCCACGCTCGTTCTGGCTGTTTGCCCATCACATTCATTCCCAATAATACTCTCACCACAAGTCACTCTTTCGATTATGTGCCTTTGATAAATAACTTTGATAATTTTCAATTCGATACGATACTCCACGTACCAAACTCCGGCGCGCGCCATCTATTGATAGACATCAGACTACGCACACGCGACACCCCATATAATCCCAACACGGCAACATCTGGCCACTTAACAGATACCACACCTATTACTATACACAAGATGAAGCTTTTGGATATTCAGACGGCCATGGGCGCCGCGGTTTTGCTTCTGTCCGTCCCTTGCGATGCGAAGCATGGTCACGGCCTGTCGCATTTGGGCGGCTTGAGTTCGCGACACAACCACCAACATAAGAGACATGCGTCGCCAAATGTTGAAAGCATTGAGGATGGATTGGAGAAGCGTGGAACTTGCCAGTTTCCTACAGATGCTGGTTTGGTCTCCGTGCCTGGCGCAAGTAATGGCGGGTGGGCAATGAGTCCCGATCAATCCTGCACTCCTGGGAATTACTGTCCTTATGCTTGTCCACCAGGGAAAGTAATGGCACAATGGGACAAATCAGCGACCTCATATACTTACCCACTATCCATGGTTAGTTACAGACTTAATTTTATAGAGGATTTTAACTAATCCTTTGCAGAACGGTGGCGCATACTGCGACAACAATGGTCAAATCCAGAAACCCTTCACCAATAACGATTGGTGTGTTGATGGAACCGGCACTGTTTCAGTCCAGAACAGCTGTGGCTCTGGCGTTTCTTTCTGTCAGACTGTCCTACCTGGGAACGAAGCCATGTTGATTCCTACCTACGTTGAAGACCATGCTGTATTGGCTGTACCAGATACCACCTACTGGTGTGAAACTGCTGCTCAGTAAGTAATCTGTTGACATATTTGAATATTGATTAACGTCTCCTAGCTATTATGTCAACCCTCCCGGAATTGGCACTTCTGATGCGTGCATTTGGGGTAGCGATTCAAACCCACATGGGAACTGGTCTCCATATGTCTCGGGAGCCAACACTGACAGCTCTGGCAACACTTTTGTTAAGCTTGACTGGAATCCAATCTTCATCGCATCCGAACTTGCTGGAACTACTCCCACCTTTGGTCTCAATATCACTTGCCCTGGTGGAGGTTGCAATGGCTTGCCCTGCTCTATTGACCCATCTGTGAATAAGCCTGGAACTGTCACCAGCTCCGATTCCAGCACTGGAGCAGGAGGTACCAGCTTCTGTGTCGCTACTGTGCCCAAGGGTGGAAAGGCCGTCATTGAAGTCTTTGAAGTTGGCGGATCAGGGTCCGGCAGTGGGTCATCTAAATCGTCGAGCTCGTCACCCTCCAAAGCCTCCAAAGCCTCCAACGCGGTTTCGAGCTCCAGTCCTCCAAGCTCTTCATCATCGCCCTCGTCTACTCCAACTCCTACCCCATCGTCAACATCGACCTCAAAGATATCTAGCACCAGCCCAAGCTCCAGCCCCAGCTCTTCCAAGCCTAGCCCAACGTCGACGTCGACATCATTGTCGACATCATCGGCCCCCAGCACCACTTCCAGTACCATCTCCAGTACCACTTCGAGTTCCATTTTGAGCACCACTTCCAGCAGCATCATTTTCAGCTCCAGCTCATCTTCAATCTTGACAACATCTTCGGCCAGCATCAATATTACTACCACCTCCTTGACCTCCACATACTCTTCCGCAACCGCCAGTAACTCCCCTCATGTTCTGTATCAAAACGGTACTGCAACTGCACTCGTCACACCAATAGCCACTGGTTCGTCAGGCAGCTCAGCTGTGAACAATACTGCATTGAGCACCATGGCAAGCCCAACTTCCAAGCATAACGCAGCTGGAGCGACGTTTGTTTCAGGCAGCACCCTTATCTTCGGCGCCCTGCTTGCCATCGCCTCTACTTATTTCCTATAAAATGGAAATACCGACACATGTTTCCTAATTTCTATATGCAACCCCCACGGCACAGCACCGTCCGGATCAATCGCTATTCACCTTCTCACTATTTATCATTACTCACACTGTCTAATACGTCTGGATATACGTAATTTATATTATCGCCTACCTGGTCTGGAGACCTCTGAGCCAATTGTACAGTACCTGGTTTCGGAGTAGTGCAACAAACATTCAACATTCTTCTCATCTATGCAAATGTCGTTTCATTCCTGCTGGCTGGATCCATATCAGCAGCTGGAGATATAAAGATTCCACGATATTGTTTTGAGATTATACCCATACCCTTTTTATGAATTTTTTTTATTTGACTTCTTTGTTTGCCTCTATATATATACATACGGAGTGTGGATTCTATGGCGGGGAAAAACACTTACACATTCTATTATAACCATATTCTTATACTTTATTGTTTATCAGGGGACGGGGTTCAGGTTCGCTTGAGCCGGATCCTTTTTTTATGAAGGTTATGTTTATGATGAAGAGATACCTTATTCTGCTTCCTCTGGTTAGTGGCGCGTGGATTTATTTTACGGCGGGATTGGATTGGATTGAATTGTGGTGAAAAATATAGCAAGGAAGAAGGGGGAGGGGGGTGTAGTTAGGTGGTTGTTGGAATTTTACCACTCTGTGGGATATTTCACTTCCTCTTATCTACATTGTATCAGCTTATAGCTAGTTGGTAGTAGTTGAAAAATGTAGTTGTGAAGCAGTTCATACTATACTTTTATGTGCGACGTGAGTGATGGACTCATCATATATATACATTTAATCCAAGGACTTGTCCATCTTGCGATACTCGACATTCACGCCATCATATTATATTATATCACACATACATCAAAAGAGTAACTCATCCCTCCCTCCCTCACTCCAAAAATCAGAACGAAATGATTCATCCCGCCAGCTAGCTGGGAGCAACTCTCCTCTCCTTCCTTCCTTCCTTCCTCCTCACATGCCAGGCTCCAAATGCAACTTTACAAGCACCGTCGCGTGTTTAAACGGGGTTTCTATCTATCCATCTATCTATCTATCTATCTATCTATCTATCTATCTGTGCTCTCTGTCTGTATTGACATTCATGGGTTGTGTGGCATGAATGGTACTTGATATGAGATGAGATGAGATGAGATGAGATGATTTGCTTGTATGGAGGGAGGGTGAGGGACGGCTGTGGAATTAGAGGGAGAGGGGAAGGGGGGATTGATGGATAGATGGGATAAGTAGGTATGTAGGTATGAGAGATGAGAGAAGTGATCAATGCAAGTGAGTGAGTAAGTGAGGATGCGGGAATTAGGGAGTTGGTATAGAAGGGAAGGGAAGGGAAGGGAGTGAATGGGGATGGGGATGAGGGGTTGAGAGGTTGGAAGCGGAGAATTTGGGACGGGTCACAGAGAGATTTACAGTGTGTATAAGAGGGAGGGGGGTTTGGAGGTTGAGTACTACTGCTGCTGAGGGAGTTGCTTGTTATCTAGGTCGGTATGAAGTGAGGAAGCTCAGCATCATCACAGAGTTTATAATTACGGTCCTTGAAGCATGTGTCTTAAGTAAACATCTAAATTTTTAATTTCAAGTCAACTTTCTCTACTTAAGTAATAATGGGTATCGTCGCATCCAGCCAAATCACGTTTCAGACGCCAGGCCAATCCTCCCTAGAGCGCTTAAAACGCCAGAAAGTATCTGCCGATCAAATCCTCATATGTCCAGAACTCCTTACTCAAACAGACTCTCATATCTCCAGAATTCTTTGACTTAGCCCCCACCCCTGGTAAATTCACATCTGGAACCCAAGCGCGTTCAACGCGGCCATATTCCTCTTTTCCAAGACACTATTCTTCTCCTGGGTCGTAGTCAACATTTCGCTCAGCGCTGCCAATTCTCTATCCTTTAATATCCGCAACTCCCTTAAATGCTTGATCTCCTTGCTCTGCTTCTCCCATCTGTCGCGCCAGAAGACTGCTTGACGGTTTAGTTCAGGAATAGTGTTTTCTTCGCCATGAGAGGAATTTGAGCGGCTGGCTGGTGGGGTCGAGAAGATGGGTTGGGGGTGAGAGCGGGGAATCGGTCGGTGGGGCTTCTCTTTGATCTCACCGGGTTCCGTAGCATCGGAGTGTTGATTGGGAGAGGCTGATGGGAGGAGATTTTGTTGGACCTCCTTGAGTGTCTGCTCATTGTTTCCATAGGGGGTTGGATAAGGGGGGAATGGGTTAGCGCAAGGCTGTTCGGTGGGCGCTGAGGTGCTCTCAGACCCATCTTCTGCTGGGAGGGCTTGAGACAGTTTAGGTTGGGCGGCTGGGTGAAGAAGAACTTCTAGCTGGTCAATGATAGACATATTGACCGGCTGAGACGAAGGCCGAGAGTGCTCGCTAGGTCCCGCGGCTTGAGATGGGTGGCCTGGGTTCGAAGGGACTGCGGATAGTGGCATGGCCTGTGAAGATGGCTCTGACTTGACACGAGGATCCCGTACTCTTGGTCCAGCAGGCGCCAACCCACTCATCTGGTTCGCTGATATGAACTGCCGTGGCCCAGTCGGTGCGATGAGGACCCTTTGATCCGTCGCGAACGGTCTCGCACGTAATGGAGAAGCAGGAATCATTTCTTGTGGGACACGGTGGGGAGAGGCTGGCCTTGTACCTCGTAGACCATGATGGCCACTGGGCGCCTGATCGCTCTGTACAGCGCGGCGCACCTCCCTCTTCTTTTCCTGCGTGCTCTTCCTGTGGGGTCTGTCTCGCGCATCCCTCTGCAGCTGGTCCACGAGGCGCTGCTCTGCAGCCCTATCACGAGGATAAGAGACCCAAATGGTGCGACCGCCTATGTGGACGAGCTCCGCCCCGGGAAACTTGCTACCGCTGCACTTGGTCATGTTGTGTAGCCGTGCGTGGTCCAACAAGAGGGGAGGTGGAAGAGGAGGAAAGGGATAACGACGGTTCTGAGGATGTCTGAAAGCCTGGAAAAGTATTGGAGAAGAAGAAAAGGGTGAGCGCGTGTGTGTCTTGCTTGCTGGCAGGGAGTCAATTGAAGTGTTGTTTCTGGCAAATTCCAGTTGTTCGAGGTTCTGAAATAAAGTGGGACAGCTCTGGAAATGACGATCGAGAAATTCGCGAAAACATGTGATCAAAAATACGAGTAAGGGGTAGATTTTGTTGATTGGTCAACGGCTTTAATAAACAAACCCCCTTTTCAATACTCTATCGATCTTTCAAGAACAATCGACCCGAAGTACTGTTTAACTCCTTCTACCATGCATCAATTAATTCCACATCAGTCCGTAGTCCATGACCAGATAATCCCGATTCAAGAGTGCTTGCTCATCTCCGCCGGCATCACTCATCTTCAGACTTCTGCAAACCCAATTCCACCATCAACTCATGCTGCTTTGTTTCTAAATCTTTAGTCAAAATTTTCTTCTTCAAATCACCGTTTTGCTCCTTCAACGTCAGCTGCTGTTCTATCAGGACATCCGTAAGCTCACGCAGCGCCTTCTTCTCCAAGTCATCTTCTCGTGCCTTGGATTTCAATGCCTCGATCTCAGCATCCCGGGCTTGGATTGATACATTTAGTCTCAAAGTTTGCGGAGCTGGTTCGAACTGTGGATGGTCTTGTGGTCTTAACATAGGTGAAGATGGCTCCACTTTCGGCTGGATTGGTGTGATGGAGTGAGAGGTCGGAGGTTGTTTGTCTGGTGGGGATCTGGTTACGAGCTGGGTCATGTTAATCCTCATTCCTTGTGAGTCCTACTGGAGCGAAGGGTCTTACCTTTCGCGACGGCTTCAGGGTTCTTGCCTCTGGCTCCGGTTCCGGCTCTCTCGCCTTTTGGATGTCATTTAAAGCCTTGAGCCTATTATTCTCCACCCTCTCTGATCTCCTCAATCCTTGTTTCAAGCTAAGGAGCCTCCGCTGTCCCATCCTCTCTAGCCTTTCCTTTGATATTGGCTTCGGGCACTGGAAGTACAAATCAGGAGCAGCAGCTTTATAGGTACGCTTTATGGGAGCGGCAGCTTTATTGCTGCGCTTCTCAGCAGCAGCAGGTTTGTTAAGTTGCTTCTCACGACGAACTCGCTTCTCGTGCATGCGTACTTCCCATGCCTTTTCGATCTGAAGAGCCAGCTCTGCTTCTTCCTCATGGTCACGAGGATGTTTCACCCACATAGAAAGCTTTCCCATCGGCACCGATGGTACCCATATCTGCTCTGCACCTTCGAATCGTTTCCGTCTGCACGGCATTTTGAGGCCTTGGATCGTATTTGTCCTTGGCCTGAATGTGATGAGGGTTAATGTGACCTTATGATCCGAAGGCGATGCAGTGACTAGACGGCAATATTAGCGATCGATCTGCCATGGTCAGCCCCGATCTCAGGGAACTTACGTTGAAGTTGTAATTCTCTCACGATTGTCGGAATATCGTTCAAAGTTGAGAGTTGTTTTGTGAGCATTCACATCACGGCGAAGGTTGTTTATATGAAGATGGTAGGCTAGCGCTCGCCCCTCTAAGTTGCAGGTGGGCCAAACTTCACCTCCACTTTTCAAGTGAATTAAGCATGCTTGTCAGCAAATCGATCTTTCACGGTCATATGCCTTGAAGTTAGAATTCATAGACACCCTGGCCGGCCATTCTAGCTCATCTTCACCCCTCAGATACATCTTTGCAACTCCAAAACGTCTCACGGGATATGAGAACCCAAGATTGACCTGCATCAATTCAAATTTATACTATGAAGGCGTCCACAAACATTGTGGTCAACTCTTACAGTGTCATTATGGTTCCTAATCCTTCTTTGTCCACACCTGGGCAATCTAGGCTCTCCTAAATTCGATGATACCCCTCTCATCGCCCATAACTGGAATACCCAGTCTCCGTATCAAGTACTTCTCCCTATCAGCGAGACTCTCTACTCCCATGTCACGATTAACATCTCCCCTTCCCCTGGCGACCTTCCACTCCAACGACTTGATCTTCC